CTCTTCTGCCGAGCCGAAGCGTTGTGCTTCATGCGGGACATCTGGTACGCCTCAGCTCGCTTGATGAGCAGAGGGCGGGGATAGACCTTTCTCAAACCCTTGATCTTGAAGGCCGCGATATCACTCTTGTACAGCCGCAGATGCCTCTCCAAGGGGTGAGCCGACCGCTCGATGCCAACGTCCGTGATCCAGGTCCGGTAAGCGATATACAAGGTGGTGAAGCAGTCCACGTCATCTTCCTCGTTTTGAAGAAGGAACGAGTGCGTCCTGGTCAATAACTGTCCCAGCTGCTCGCGCAAGTCGTGAATGCGCTCATAGACGGGGTCGCTTGGACTCAGAAGATAGCCAGCCTTGTATCTGTACTGTGGCCGCAGCTCCTCGTCTTCGGCAACCTCGGCAAGGGGGTCCTCGTCTTCTACATCAACGTCCATGTCGTCATGGCCTGCTCCGCTGTTCTTCCCGACAGTCTCTCCAGACGCCCGTTTCGGATCAAACATGGTAGCCATACCGCTAATGACGAGACGGATCTGCTGCATGAGACGAGATACTTCGTCGGACCACTCCTTGTTCTTGCCCTTTCGGGCCACAGGCGGAGCGTCGCTCAGCAGAAGCTCCAGCTGCTCGGCAGCCGACTTGGTCTGTGATGCAAAGAGCTCGACGGCAAACTCGATTTCTGGCGGTGACGGCTGGTGCCACTTGATGGTAAGGTCAGCGGGCGCCGTCGTCTTGCCCCAGTCGGTGACATCGAGGCCTCTCTCGAGAACTTCGGGTTCGTACAGGGCATGGTCGATGGGATACGTGTGCGTCAGGTTGAGCAGCAGGTGATGAATGTAGTTTGACACGAGAATCGTAGGCAGGCCGCGGCATTTCTCTTGCATGTACCGCGCAATTCCGAGCAGCTCGTCCTTGTAGTTCAGGACCTCACGGCCGACGTGCACAACAGACATGGCAAGCATGGTGACATGCCAAACCAGAGCTCGGTCTCTGGGCAGATAATCTGTACCGCTGGTGCGATCGGACGCCGCGTGGTTCAAGTCAATCTCGTTGCGGATACTCACCACAAACATGGGGATGAAGACCTTGAGAGTCTTTTCCGGGTTGACCTTGCACAGTGCATTGAGGATCCAAGCCATGGCATCGCGCGCTTGATGGACGACGTGCGATGAGACAAATGTGGCAATCTTTTCCAAGGCAATGTCGAAGAGTTCCGGGGACATGGACGCGAACAGGGGCGAAAGAGCGGCGGGCAGGGCGTTAACAACACTGTCCTCCGGTGTCCCTCCCCGCACCTGGTTAGCATCGGGGAGGTTCTCCAGCAGAGTGAAGACCTTGCCCAAGAGCGTGATCAAGAACTCGCCAAATCCGGCAGTCGAGGACCTCAGAATCATGGCTTCATCCTCGTCGGTGAGTTCGGAGTTGTAGTCAATCTTGACATTCTGCCCCTCGAGCTCCATGCGAGCCATCTCGCCCTGCACCCATTCCATGGCCAGGGTCGTATCGTGGATGTGGCTCTCCCCACTCGTCAGGGGTACAATGGGAATACTGTAAGCCACAGCCTGGATGAAGTGCAAAGTATATTGCGTCTTGTTGAGATCGTTTGCATCAATGCCAGGGAGCGCCAGGGCAAGCAGCGCAGTGATGTGGCAGCGGTAGCCCTTTAGCTTGGACATGATGTTGGCAATCATCTGCAGGCCGTTCAGACTGGAAGTTGTCCTGTGAACTTCTACCAGGCCCTGGAGACTTGGGTAGAAGCGCTGCAGGGCCCCCGGAAGGACCAGATCGGGCTCCAGATAGGCCAAGCCTTGCAGAGCATTGGTATAAATCTGCGCCACACGGGTGCTTTTGGAGAAAATGCCCATAAAGGTAACCTCTTTGAGAGCGTTGACGAAGCGCTGCTTGAGTCCGTCATTGATCTTGCGCTCCTTGGGGACCTCAAGCTCCGAGCTCTGCTCGCGGTTCCAGCGGGACACAAAGGCGTCCGTCAGGTACAGGATCAGTTGTGCGAGCATACCGGACCAGGCACCCTGATTGGAAGGATGGAAGAAGGTGTCGATGGACTCAATCAGGCCTTCCAAGCTGGACATGATGGACTCTTCCTTCTCGCAGCAAATAGGAGATAGAGAGCTCACAATGAGTCGGGCAATCATATAGGCAATGGGATATTTCTTCTTATCTTTCTCGAAATACACGCCTGTGCCAGCCAAATAGTCGAGGGGCGTGTAGGGAGAGTTGGCCTGTCCAACGGGAATAAGGGTAAGCCTCAGGATGGCCGTGAAGATGACGTCGGACTGGGCCTTTGTGAAGATGCCATGCTCTCCAAATGGGACGTAGGAGCAGTTGCTGTGGTCTCTCGCTATCCGGGAGAACAGATCTATAAAGGCCACATCAATAGTCTTGGAGCGGTTGACCAGAGACCATAGGTGGAAGAGAGTCGGGAAGAAGTCGGCCGGATGCGACCCCACCTCCGACTCCGGGGCGGGATGGCTAGGTAGGAGGCTGTTGAGGGCGCCAATGACGACGAAGGCATTCTGGAGGTCATTGAGGCTGAAGTAGGGCAGAAACTCCTCCAGCATGGCCCGCCTCTCTCTGGGGTCAAAGTATGTGTGTGCATTGATGGTCAGCCTGAGGAGCTGCTTGGCCGCTCGTCTTCGGTGCGACTGATGGGCTGGGACTTCGGAGGGGAGCACGTAGGCCTTGACCTCTGCCCACAGCGGTTTCCAGTCGAGAGTAAGATCTTCGCCCGGTTTGAGATAATGATTTTTCCTAAAGTCCAAATTAGCAGAGGCACAGCCAGAGGGGGGTTTAGAGGGGAAGCTTGTCCCATGCCAACGTACCGCGTCAGATTTACAGCCATTCGGACAAATCTGTCGGCAGCATTGCCGTCAACGCCGGGGGCCAGCGCCAGCGAGTAGTACAGCTTGGCCAGCTTGGCTCTCAACTCCCTCGTCATCTCGAACTTGAGGTTAAGCCATCCCTGGAGCTCCCTAGTCCAGTGAAGCGCGCCGGGCGAAAAGTCCTCGGCCTGGATGGCGATGTAGAGCTGCTTGAGGATGCCCTGCAGGGCCGCGTCGCGCTGAGCCTCCTCCTCGACCTCGAAGGGCAGCTGGCGGAAGTAGGCAAAGGTGCGCTGGCGGTACCGCCGCTTGTCGTCGTCGTCGGACTTGGGAAAGGGCAGCCCCGGCGAGGTCGAACGCGAGATGGGCTCGTAGGCGGCGAAGCTGGCCAAGAGGTGCGATGCCGCACTCGCAGACAGCGCGGCCGGGGGGCCCTGATGGCTGGCGCCGATGTTATCGTCCATCGTCACCAGAGGATCCTGACGGTGGCGCTGTGTGTTGGTGCGTGTCTATGTGTTTCGCTTCTCGTGTTCTTATTCCGGCCGGCGAGGCTGAGGCTTGTCGGATGCCGCGAGAGAGGGGTTCCGCAGGGCTTTGAGGGAAGGGTTCCGACTTGCTGGACAAAAGCTGGCTGGCACGCAGCCGAAGCTCCTGGGCAACGAGCGGCGGGATTCAACGACGGCAATGGGCGCTGAGGCTTCCCATGGAGGACCCCGCAGGAGAAGGCGGACGTGGAATCGAAACACAGGGGAACAAAGAAGAAACAAGAAGATGAAGAGGGGGGAAAGAGGGAAAGATGCTGGGGAGTATATCAGAGCAGAGTGGCCGGATGATACAAGATGCAAGGCAGATGCAAACGAGGCCACACACACCCGATGATGCTGATGCGAAGGTGGGCTGGAAGCAGGGGCACGAACTCACGGCCAATGGATTTCCAATTCGCAATTGCTGGCATTACGACACAGGGTCGTGGGCCTAATCCTACCCGCGCCGCCAGTACCTGGTACTTGCATATCTGGCGGCTACGCCCAGCTGCGGGGAGGTCCCTTTGACAGCACGAATTGAATCAGATCCATCAATGCTGTCGGGTTTCAATGCCATAAAAGCGCGGCGGGGGGGGCGGATTATAGGGGCCTTAGCGCACTCACAGCGGCAATTTACTGGAGGCAGCAGCAAGCACCTGTAGCTCGGCTAGCTGCCGCGTTGGCGGCTGGCAGCCTGCCTGAAAGGAGCTGGAGCACGCGCTGGAGCGCCCAGCTGGGAGCTTGGAGCACGAGGTGTGCCTCCGCATCTCCGCACCTCCGTCCGGCACCCGACTTCATAAGGTACGTCAGTACAGCGGGAGCCTGCCTCGCCGAACTGAAATCGAACCGCAACCCTTGCTCTGATGCTGAAGCTGGGAACTCGGAAATATTAACTCCGGCCGGAGGAAGCAGTGAATTGGTGATTGAGATGGTCACAGGGAGCCTCACATCATCTTCAGTGAGCATGATAGGTTGTGTTTGTTCGAGGTAAGGTAGTACTACATTCAATGCGGGCAGGGTGAGGTGAGCAAGCTCCAAGTCAGTAAACGCATAGACCTGCTGCTGCTGTCCAACTGCACTGAGCCAGCAGGAACAGTAAGGGAACATGTTTCTACCTTGACGGGCAAAACATCTGATGCCGCAGTCGATATTACCTTCGCACACAGCAAAAGCCCTTGGATTGTTTCTTCAGTGGGGACTCGTGCTAAGGACAGCGAAGCCCTCGTCTCTTACTCAGCGTTCAAATGACGTAGAGCCTCATGGGTCCATGAACCTGGGGCACAGCATCAGACGAGAGAGATTCTGCTCAGCCTGCAACGGACTACAAGTGATACGGAAGATCAAATGCAACGACACCTGCGATACATGTCCTTGTCAGGCGACACACGCAACAACATCATACTATAATGGAACCAAGAGCCACGATGTGAGTTGAACCATCCTTTATACAGCATCTAAGGTACCCAGGGTATATCTCCAGCAACTGTAGCCCAAAAAACGCCCTTGTATTCCATCACCCAGCTCCAAATGAAAAATCACCAAACATCGCTTGACAAAAGTATATACTTGCAATCGCTGTGCCTTTCAAGGCCAAAACCCCAAACAAAACAAACTTTCCTCCAAATTTGAGCTTCAGACTGTATCATGACACCCGCTGAGTGCTTGAGTGATGAAAGACCTTGTGTGCAAGACGCTTGACTCGGGTTCGGCATGTAGCTGCCTCTTCCCGGACCTTGAGGTTGTCTGCATGTTTGTCGTCTGTCTTCCCCTCCGCGATAAGAGCCAATGCCGCTGCTGCAGCTGCCGCCTCGCGTCTTCTCTTCATGAAGTCGCTCCCTGAGGAGAATGCCCGTCGAAGTCGACTAGTGGCTGGAGCTTGAGTGGAAGTTGAGGTGTCTTCAGGAGAGTTGAGCCCATCAGTGAGGGAGACTTGAGAGCCTGATGATCCCAAATTTGCGCCCTCAGGGCTCTCTGCTTGCGAGCGGCCCGAGTTGATGCACTGAGACACGGCTCGAGAGGCCTTTGGCGTCACTGATGCAGGCCAGCCCGACTGGCGGAGTCTGATCCAAGTCGCTGTGGCAAGCATGAGCGTCTTGTTGTACTCGGAGACTTCCATCGACGACCGCTCCTCTGCGAGGCTGGTGCCGTCTTCTGAGATGCCAGTGACCTCTGCTTCAATAGCTTGTGCGATCGAGGGCAGCTGACCGCTCGATGCAGGGAGGGTGGCATATGTATTGTATATCTCCAATGATGTGGAGTCAAGAACTCCCTGGATGGGGTGCTTCTTAGTCGACGGATCCAAGATGCAAAACGTCCACTTGCCGTCTGGCGTGGGAGTGGTAGGTGACGAGGGAGGCGAGTTGCTGGCGTCAAAGGCGCTGCTGGCTGATCCCCAGCTTGTTCGTGGAGAAAGAGATGGCTTCTTGATCCACTTGGCCTTGACCGTCTCGCCTTGCTCGTTGATGTGGTTGAACTCGTATGATCCAGCATTGCGGCTTGTGACCCAAGTTGATCCGTCTTTAAAGACAATCTTGGCGCAGTCGTCATCCTCAGTTGTGGTGATGACTGCAAGCACCTCTGTGTAGTCTGAGGCGTTGCTGCTGTCGCCGTTGCTGTTGGCGTCATGCTGCTGGTTGCCATGTGCAGGGACATAGTCGTCTCGCCGAACCAAGAGAAAGTCGTTCTGGCCGAGATGAGGTTTGGCACTGAACATGCGAGGGAATGCCTTGAGCAATGCTGGGATGATGAGGGTTCCCGCAACCAAGCTTGACGGGATCACGTCAAATGCCGGAATTGCACGCTTGTTGCCGGCAAGCTCTCTGAGCTGCAACAACACACGCGGACGGACCTGAAAGAAGTTCCGCTGCTTGGTGCGCAGGCCGGGGGCCGGGAATGCCAGAGCATACCGCACTGATGAGCGTGTCTTGCGCTTTCGCCTTGCGAGCCGGACTGAGCCATCGGTTCGCTCACTTCCAGAGATGGAGGCAGCGTCGGAGAGAGGCTCCTGCAGCTTGACGGCGTTGGCAAGGTCAGAAGTGGTGTGGCGTCTGGCGGTGAAAGAGGCACGACGGCCATGGCCAGTCTCCTTGACTGAAGCTGAGCGAGATGGAGGAGTCACATCCTCGTCAGAAGCCGGAAAAGCAGCGTGCAGCTGGCGGATGAGGTCGGAGCTGAGCAAGTTTGGCAGAAACGACAGAGGATTCATCCAGAACTTGTCGGTCTGTTCATTGGCAAACTCATGGCCGTGAATGGCCGCTCCAGAGTGGACAAGCATTGTGTCTGAGGTTTGTGTGTGTGTTTGTAAGATGAGACGAGTAAGTTTGTATAAGGCTTTCCTGTGAAGGAAGGCACGTTGTCAAACCAAGTTGATGGTTGACTGTAGAATTCGTCGTGTCCTGTTGTGGACTGCGAATCTGAAATAGAGTATGTGTAGAGTTGTGACGGATATCAACCGTATATATGAGAGTAGAATGAGACGAGTTGTCTTTTTATGTGATGAGTCGTATTCGTCGTCAAAGATGATGAGAGCTGAGATTGAAAGGAAATTGCACGCCGCGCAGTAGAAGCAAGGAGATTCGTGAGTAGTAGAATAGAAGAGCTTGATGCTCTATGTGTGTTGTTACAAGTCAAGTTGACTGTTGATTGAAGCGCCCAGCGTGTGTAAGTGAAAAGTAGTGATATAAAATCGTCAGGAGTCGTCAGAAGCGAGAGCAAGAGCTGTAGAGCAACAGAGCTGTAGAGCTGTGAAAAATGAGCTGGTACTCCAGGTACTGCTGACTCGATCAAGACGAAGAAGAAGCAGAGCTGACGATGTGTAGAAGAGAAGTAGAGTCAGAAGAGTCGAGGTCGGAAGACAAAACAATGTAGGCCAGTCTGTTGTCTGTGGCTTGTCGGCCGGTCAACAGAGAAAGCCTCCCACGAAAGAGAGTTTTGCAGAAGACTCTGCAATTGGGGAGGAGGTTTTGCTCGAGGAGGAGTGTGGCGGTAGGTTACCGGTACTTGAGGAAACCATGCGACCAGAGCCTTACGAGCGGGCCGCCGATGGGCGATGCATGTACCATGTACAGGGGTGCCTTGCTGGGCTTGAGATCGTGCAGCTGTACTTGGAACGGCACATTCAAGAGCCCGGACCCCGAGAGTGAAGATGCACGGCGGAGTCGGTGGTGAGCGCGGCAGCCCGGATGAAGATCAAGATGTTTTGGCCCAATCGATTTTTGTTCCTTCTTTTCCTCCTTCTCTCCTTTTTCTTCCTTTTCCAGCCTTCGAGTTCGAGAACACAGACGGGAGTGATCGAGGCCGTAGTATCCGAAGGGCAGCAGCAGCGAGCGTGGCTGTCTGTGCGAGGGCGATGACGGAGGGAGGATTCCAGGATCCGGAAGCCTGAGACAAGAGAACAGAGTCGACTCGAGGGAATAAAGAGAACTTGTGTGACAAGCTCTCGATCGCTCCGCAACGGACAGGACACCGGTATTTAGTAGCCAAACATGCTGTCAAAGTTGTCTTTTTTTTTTTTCTTTCGTCTCGAGGGGACCGGGCTGCTTAAGGTCTTAGTCGTGCAAAGCGAAGTTAGTTGAGATAGTGCCGTGCTTGTAAGATGGGGCGGCGCCGCAAGTGGCAACTGGAGGAGCTCAACTTTTTTTGATTTGGCCGCTCCATCACTTGCTTTTCTGCAAGTGTCCACGGAGGCAGGCTGTGGCGTGGGACATGTGGACTTATAGCTCGCAAGAGGCTTTTGCCAGGCACTTTTCCGGGCGTGTGGCCGATGTCAACAAGGGCAAATGGAGCAGGAATGTTGCCACTAGGTAAGGTAAGGTACCTTGGCTTCGGCACAAGGAACTTGGCCCAAGCATCGTGTTCTTGTCCGTGGAGCCGGATGAGCCGTTACGAGAAGGGCCAGCTAAGGGTAAGGTAGGTAGGTAGATGGCAGGTCTAGACCATGTACTGGCGTGGCCTGGTGCGTCATTGGAGGAGGACTGGTGAGGTAGGGGGCAGTGAGACAACGCATTCACCAGTTGACGAGACATGCCTGGGGACAGGTTCGATGGGGTTCAGGTGGTGATACGATCCTTGGAGAGACATGCCATGCTACGCCATGCTACTCCGAAGGTACTTACAATCGACAAGCCCGAGACCTTAGGTACCTACCTGCCTACCGTGAGACCTCACCTGTCCCTGTTCGGGAGCTGCCTTTACAGCGAGTACGACGACGGAATACACGTATGGAGTCGGACATGAAATGGGCCAGGCGAGTGGAAACCGAAAGGAGTGCGCAGACAGACGATGCCCAGTCGGAGCAATTGACATGTGCGACATGCGCGCTTACGCTACCAGGTGCCTGTACTGTATGTACATACATGGCCATGATGGAGTCTGATCCTCTTAAGGTAATACTACAGTAGAAGTAATACCCGTTCAGACGACTGCTGCTCAGTACTCCGTACAAGCAGAACGCCTATCCGGTCAGAGAAGACGCGGATTTCCGCCTCGGACATGGAGTTCAGAGTACACTCCGCGGTCTGATCCTGCATGTACATACCTGCAAGAGAGGTGACAACGCCTGCAGCAACTGCCAGACCGACTTCAACTCCAAGGTGACTTTATCCTTACCATCTACCTAAGATCATCATACTGTATCATGACACTGCATCGGATTCGCATTCGTCCCCTTTCTGAGTCCTGCTCATACGCTTGTTCCTCCTTTCCTCTCCATCTTCATATTACAACCAGGCGATGCCTCCACCACCACAGGTATCAATATCGGCGTATTCGGACTCGCCAGACACCGGTAGCAAAGTCATAGCGGCCCGCCAAGCAGAAAGAACAAAGTAGTGCGTGCGTCTTCTGCCGATGAATGGAGACGATTTGGAGATCAGACCCTACTTTTTTTTCTTCTTCTTTTCCCCCTTTGTCTGGATAATGTCTTCGTTCTCTCTCTCTCTCTCTCTCTCTCTCTCTTTTACTTTTTTCTGACAGGGATCAGCCCGCATTTCCGAGGCCAAGAGCCTTGTCGCCCAATGGCTCGTCACCCACTTTTTGCTCTCTATCCACCTGCCGAAGGATGGGCAGAATTCGTGGGAGCACATGCGCAGGCTGGCAGATCCAAGGGCAAGTGTGGGAGGTGGTAGTTAATCACTGCGAGACGAGTTACTGGTTGCTTTTGGGGACCGGTCGTGCATGAATCTTGGACCATACATGCTGGTTAACTAAGGTAGTACTACCTTATATGCAGGCTCGCAACTCCCGATGCCCGCGCTCCGACTCCGTTTTTGGTCCAGCCCGAAGCGAAGGATGTGTCTCTTCCGCAGTTCTCATAGTGAGTCTTCCATGTGAGCCTCTCTCTCTCTAATCCCAGTTCCACTTTATATTCTGCAGTTTACAAGTCACGCATACCGAGGTGAAAACAGCCAGGCACCACTTCGTGCCTGGAAGGAAAAGACAATAGTATGTACTTGGCGCCCTCGCGGCTATTGACAATCTCCGTTTTCCCACACGGACCAGGCACATCCTCCGACCTTTCCGTTCAGCGAGAACGAGTACATAGCCGGCGATGGGCTTGACAAGAAGTCAGAATCGGGCTTTGTCGGGCTACACACCGACTATTTTGCGGCTGAGAAGGCCATCCGTCGGGTGGCTGGACTAAACAATATCGAACCTGGTCGTCCTTGCATGATGGCCAGTAGCAACAGCTGATGGCCAAGGGAATATGCGACGATGGATGGAGATGCATGTGTGGGCTATAATATGCAGTGGGTATCTATCCGGCACCAGCAGCAGACTCTCTACCACTACCTATCCATATTCACACATACAGGACTGCATGCTCAATGCATGGACACCGCTGTCCTGCGGCTAATGGAGCCATGTGATGCATCGCGGGCAACGAAACCAGCCCGGTGAAAGATGCATCTTCTGATAAACATCAAGAAAACCTTAACCCGCTTACCATCACATACGATATGGTTCCACTTGTTGCTCTGAGAAATTTCTCACTCCATACCTTATGATTAGTAGAAGCAAAGTCACTCACTTCACTCACTCACTAGCCCGGTAAAAGGAAAACGGGGAATCGACACCACGAGCCTCGGCCGGGACCGAGTCCGCGGGCCCGATCTGCTGGGTCCTGTCGTCGTCCCTTTTGTTTCTTTGCTTGGAGTAGAAGCATTGGACAAGGTTAAAAACTGGCGAAGCCATCTCGCTCCACACGCGGTCGAGAAAATCCCCATTCTGCCTAGCCTCGGGCTTTGAATCCCTTCCGAGATCCAGCTTTGAAAATTTGACAGGAGGAAGAGAAAAGGTTGGGGAATGTTCTGGCGTCGGTCATCCAGTGGAGATGCCGCTTGGTAATGCTCACCGAAAGACTCGCTGTATCGTAGTAATCCTTTCTTCTCAATGGGCACGAAGTGTTTAATAACACAGCTCTGGTGGCATCAGACGGCACATAGCGCGCTTACCAAGCCGCGGATAACAGCTAGTAGTAGGTACTCGTACGCTTGAGCGCCTCTTGGTGTCGTTCAAGGCACCGGTGCTTTACGACTAGGCCAATGATATAGCATGACGACACCCTTTGACACCCGTTGCATCAGCCCTAGACAGCGGCAGCGGCAGCTGTCTTGCCTCTTGTCATGGAATCCAATCCTTCAAGTTTCCAGGAGCCGTCCTGCTAGCTAGCTAGACCTGCCGCGGCTCTTAGTCCCAGCGCCACGAACCAAGCTGACAAGCGTGCCTACCGGAGAAGATGGAGCCTGAACGAGAGCGAGGATGGACGTGTAAGCTGCACGCGTAGACAAAAGACACCCATGACGAGGCCTTGCCAGCTCGGGATTTGGGGTAACTGGCTGCCTGCTTCCCCTCTTCGTGGGACAAGTCAGCTTTGTTGGGTACTGACGTTGACTGGTTGATCAATTGGGGTTATCGATGCGATGCCCGGGGGGGGCTTACTCTCTGGTTAGCCTCACTCCTTCATGTCGTTGCCCAATTGCGGCGCGAAGAGCATCTGGATCTCGTTAACGACCGTCGCAAATCCCGGCAGTCTGGGCCAGCCGCGTGTTCCCTGCTCGGCAATAGCCATGCCCCAGTACCATAATAACGGGTCGTAAGATGCGAAAGGTTTCATCAAGAGAAACCTTGACAACTCAAAGCTGGTTGAAGTCGGGAGGAGAGCCTCATGATGGCTGTACCCCATGATGTGATGAGATACGATGTGTCCGCTGGGTGAAAGGGTTGTTTTGGGGGGTTGTCCCTTGCATGTTTGTGTCACAAGCTTTGAAGGGGTCGAACTGATAGTAGAAGAGGGGGCTTTGCTTTAGGATCCGGTGTGTCTTCCTTCTCTTGTGAAAAGATACAGATCATATCTATAGATAAGCACTGTTAAAAGAGCCCAACAGGACGATGCGATCCATTGCCATTGCCCTCAGTAGATGGTGACGGATAGTCGACAAAGGCCAACCTACTCATGACCTGTCTCAAGATGTATTAAACCGGATATCACGGTGACTTTTGATCTCTTGAGCACATACTTTCGAGTCAACCTCAGGGACGTCCGAGCCCCTTTTGGATGTATCCTTGCGCCAGTTGTGTCCAGTGGATGTTCGTCATGGGAGGTAAAGAGAGTTTACCGTCAAAGCAACATGGCGTTGGGTAAGGCCGCACTAGGCACAAGGCGTGAGTGCCACGCTCTCTCCAGAAGGAATATGAAGGTAATAATAGCACCCGCAAAGTTTCGGGAAAGGCACGAGTGACATGCCGAATCCGTGCAGACCACTTACAAGGTGGAAAGCTTACGGTTAGTTAGTAGGTACAGCACATGCAGTAACGAGGAGCCCCTAATGCTGCATCATGCCACATGATGAATCTTGCTTGCTCAAGATGAATGTGTCGTGGCCTCGCATTCCTGCAGGATTCTTCGCTGAAAGTTGGGCACATGGGCGATCGTGGTGGTGCTGTGAGACACCTTGAATGTGTGTGTGTTCTCGGATCCAGTTGTGTGTTGTCTTATTAGTGCCCTGCGTTGCGAATCCGAATACGAACAAGGGGTGAGACACGTTTATCGCGCCAACAGGAGATGCGTCTCGTGTCTTGCTTTAAGCTTTAACACATGGCGAGTTCGAGCCTATCGATGGATAAAGTTAGATTCCTGAACTCACTTGTTTTTGTCTCGAGTGTCGAAACGAAACGGTTGTGTGCCCGTTTTGTATTGTACCTTATGCACCAGGACGGTCTCACGAAACGGATGCTGACGCAGCAGCTCCAGCTCCAACATTGCCCGATTCGGAATATCTACGGACCCCTCCAACCGCGATAAGATAAGGTAGCATGAGCATGGGTTGCATCACCAGAAAACACCAAATCCAGATCACGAACAAGCATATCGAACCTCAAGCTCACACCACACAAACACACCCAATGGCTAGAAACTTGACGCCATTGCCTTTATAGCCCCGTGCATATTACTCCTCACCAACCATGTCGCGATCAACCTTCATCGCCGCCCGCAACTCGCGGCACCGCACCGCAGCCCTGGCCCTCTATCGTGCTCTCCTCCGGACTGCGAGTCGCATCCCGCTAGCGGAAAATGCGCCGAAACACCCACTTGCGCAGATTGTTAGGAAGAGGTTCTCCAAGAATACGGGGTATACGAGTTATAGGCTTATATACGCGGCAATGGGGGCGGGATACAAGGTGAGCTGCACCCAAGCTTCTCGACTTCAACCGGCGCAAACTAACTTTGACTTTCAGTTTCTGGATCTGCTCACAAAAGCGCAAACTCCCAATTCTCCAGAACACAGCCAAGTTCTCAACCACCTCCAATCCGTGCGCAACACCGCCGCTGTATCCCGCACGAAGCCTCATCCCAAACAACACAAACGCGCTCCTCCACCCGAGCCGCTCCTCATCAACGTCGCCAAGGAAAACGAGCCTCCGAAATACACATCAAATATCCTTCCCAGGCCAAGGGAGTCGCTAAAGGGCCCCAGGAAAGTTCCCTCTGTGAGCGCAACTACAGAGGGACAGCCGTTTGTGCGGTTGAAGAAGCCGCAGCCGCATACCTTGTCACGGATGATTGGTCGCAAGGATCGGATCTTTTCGAATCGGATCGAGAATATCATGGATCTCGATGAGCGGGTGACTTCTGAGGCGGCGCTTGAGGATGAGTGGGATCGCATGATGGATGATTTGCTGGCAAAAGAGGGTGTTGAGAGGGCCAAGAGAAAGAAGCAAGCCTCTTACAGTTGGGATGCAGAGAACAACGCCAAGATGGAGACATTTGGTTGGAGCGTGCAGCTTTCACGGCTGTGGTGGGAGTGGAAGGTTGAAAAGACGTGGGAGGACTGGATCGCTAGGGGGAACGCCCTCCAAGAACTCGTTGAGCAAGAGAGATCCCTAGCCGAGCGGGAAGAAGGGCAGAGCAAAGCTGCTACTGGGAGGGATCATCGTACACCACGGCGGAATCCGCTTGATTCGGACGACTCTCCGCCGAATGTTGGAATCAGCACTATTCAAACATTACCCCTAATGGATATCTCTAGGGATATAGAGCTGCTATCCGATTCGGAGAAGGTGCAGGATGGGGAAGCGCATGACCCGTTCTTGTCGCCGTCTTGGAGTGCGTTGGTTAAGGCGCAGGAGAGCAGGATGTTGAAGTGGACGGGCGGACGAGCTGAGAGGAGAGAGTGAAGTGGACAGCGGCTGTTGTCCCTATCTTTATGAGACGGCATGGATTGGAATGGAGGGGGACTGATGCTGAATAGGACGGACTGCGATTTGTAACATCTGCTTTACAATATATAGAAGCTATATACCACTAGGAGCCGGACTGGCGTTTCGGAAGTTGAAAAGAGGAAACTTATAGATCCCTTTTGAGCATGTGGTTCTTGATCCTGAATCACACTTACAAGTAGGGGCCCTGAGATGGTGATACCCCACCCTTTCATGATTCCGGACTACCAGTACCTTACACGCCTCACGCAACCTAGACACCTCAGACCATCAAGGAACACGACAAAAGACGAAAACACTTGCAACAAGGGAGAACTAGCAAGATAGCAAAAAGAGAAAAACATACAACAGCCGGTGTTCGCCAGTGGTCACCCACCTGACTACTAATCTGCCGGTTAGTGGCTTGTCTATGGGGGAGCAGACGGGACCCCGAATTCTCCACTACCTATGGTCGTATGTGATGGTTTGGCGATGCTATTCCGCTCATATCGTAGCCTTGCATGAGCAGATCACGGGTTGAAGTAGCGACCTGGTTGAGCGATTGCGTTTACTCAGTATGGGCTCCAGCTAATTGTATTTGCATTCAATAAATATTCCAGCCCTCTTTTCAACCGTCTAGTTAGGTATTGACTGTGTAGATGGTGTGGATCTTTGAGTTGTAGTTGGATGATTTCTCGTGATGCGTCCGGAGCCTTGTCCAGAGCCTTGCAGCACAGCCGCACGCTTATTGGTCGTATGGTTCCAGGCGTCATCACTGACTTCGATGCTACCCTATGCATATTACGATATTGACATTGAACCTTTGGACGTTGATAATAGAAAAGAAAATAGACAGGCAGATAGACAAGTCTATAGATAGACAGACATTGAATTTTTCGCTCGAAAACTTACCTGCTCTATGGCACCACGACTGCATATCGAAATACAGTTGAGCTGCTTGCTCAGTGTCCCTTACTTGGCTCCAATTTATAAACCAGCAGGCTGTGGAAGAAAATCATCCGAGTAGGTAGCTTGCACACTCTACCTAGGCATATATATACAGTGCCTATCACCCCTACCTACTATTACCATTAATATCATGAAAGAAAAGGGTCTTTAGTATCTGCTATCATTGCTATGTATCTCTATTTTTCTAGAGTACATTCTATAAATCCCAGTTGATATATCCATACCAGGTAGACTGAGTTGCAAGGAATCTAGCGTTAAACGAGATCATTCCGGGTTTTCTTTGCACCGCATGAACTAGGTGTTCATATAGAAAGGGGGAGTGACTAGCTACCACCATAGTTTGGCCATATATAGCTGGCAGTTCCAGCAAACAGATTTAGAGATATAAACATGAGGTAGTACTGTGCTACGAGGATGCTGGATTGTCAAGTTGGGTGCTGCATAGCCACTCCAAGATATGATAGGGTGTCGAGTTCTGGATTGTGATAGGTTCTCGCTTCCAGCCGTATGCGTCCCCCTCAGCTGTCTGAGGGGCTGTGCGCATTCATGCCCAATCTGAGCCTCAGCCTGTTGCTCTCTCGCTTGTCTCTATTAAATTTCCAGCAGCACCGTGAATTTCCAACTCGCGACCGGACAACCGCATCTGCTACTCATTTGATAGAAGCAAATCCCTATCACGCATGGCTGGATCTCCTCAAGGCGAACCAGCCGAAGGTGGCTGCTTCGCTGTACTATCCTCCTACCTCAAGAAACGAAAGGGAAAGAAGCAGAATGCACCACAGAACGCCCCAAGCCCGATCTCTAAGACGAAAGCATTGACAGCCAGAAGTACCGACTTGTCAATCCCGCTTTCTACCTATCACGAAGCCAATGCTGCTTCAAGAGATGAGCCTGTTGGGGGTCAAACCAACCTGGCTCCGGACAATGTTGACGAACATGGAAAGGAGAATCAAGGCAACCCAGACTTATGGTCACAGGCCTACCAAAAGTTAGATGACAAGACCAAGAATTGGATTGGAGACGCCTGCAAAAACGCCAATGACAGTGGTGAGCAGAGGACTCAAGACCTAGTCACACTCGTCAGGCAGAGAGAGGAGGAATACAAGAGGGAAACTCCAAAGCTCAAGGTCGGTGGCTACGAGATCATATGGAGAGATTACGCCGACAGGGTGGTGATGTGGGTGATGATGCTTGGGGACATTCTCTCCGTGGGTTCGGCCCCAGCACCATCCCCAGTGCTATGGTCGGCTCTTAAAGTACTTCTAAAGGTAAGGTTGTATGCTATGTTGGGCCCTTCTATTTACTAATTCATAAAGCAGGCAAATGCGTCCCAGTGCGAGGATCTCGCAGCCATTTTCGGATGTGCTGAAGAAGTCCTACGGCTCACTCGCCACGGTAAGGTATACGAGGATGTATACCTTCATGGCGGCTCTTGCAATACGGCAACACAAAACCTCCAAGGTGCGCTTGTCGAGTTGTACAAGTCATTGATGGAGCTTCTGGCCCACGCATTCACCCGCTTAAACGAAGGGCAAGGGAAGCAATTTCTGCGTGCCCTCGTCTCTGGTGGACAAGGTGCAAAGCTGGTATCGCAATTGACAGAACAAGAACGCAAAGTGTCAATAGCAGCCGACGCCTGTGGTGCAGTTGCGTCTCATGAGCATCAAAGGTTGCTCAAGAGTCTTGATGAGCCACTGAGAAATGTTGGAGATACCGTCAAGAGGCTGGGCGAGAAGATTGACGAAAGCGCAATGATTCAAGCGCTGGACTATATCAGCAACATTCCGATCGGTGAGCACCAGCAGGAGAAGCGTGACTCAAGGACTCCTACAACATGCGAATGGCTATTGAAACATCACAAGTTTTTGGAATGGGAAGGGTCGGATTGTTCTTCGACTCTGTGGCTTCAAGGCAACGGTAAGCACAGCCAACTCACACCACAAGGATAGCAGCGGTTGACCATGAGCGCAATAACTGATCAGTCCAATTTGTTCTTGTTCTAGTCGGCGCCGGAAAGTCCTTTCTGACCTCCAAAGTCATTGACCACCTCTCTGCCGCCTGCCAGCAGCAGACCGAATACGATGAAGGCTTTGCCTACTTCTATTGCAGTCGTTCTGATCCTGTGCGTCAAGAGACAAAGTATATCCTCAGAAGCTATATCTCTCAGCTTGCGAGGGTACCGAACCATTCGACTATGATGGAGAAGAACATCTATAACTTATACCTCAAGGCGAAACAGGAGCAAAGAGGCTTTTCTACTGCCGAATGCGAGACGGCCTTGACTGGATTGGTCAACTTATATCGCAGGACCACGTTTGTCCTGGACGCTCTAGATGAATGTGAGAGGGAATCTAGAGAAGCACTCGCTCGTATTCTACGCAATCTTGTCGACATGGGCGAAGGCACTGTCAAGGTCTTCATTGCTAGTCGGAAAGAGGATGATATCGAAGAATATCTCGGTTCACAGAAGCTGGTTGCGATCAGTACTGCCGACAATAAGAGTGACATCGAGAAGTATATCGACTCGGAGGTATCAAAGGTTGGCGGTGCATGGAGGTCAGTCTCTGCAGAAGTCAAGAAGCAGGTGAAAAGAACGATTGGAGAGAAAAGTGACGGAATGTAAGTTAACCGTGGCACCAATCCATTGTTTTAATCACTTAGTATCTTGGAAGCCTCTGAACCATGCTAATCGATTGACAGGTTCCGATGGGCATACCTGCAATGGCAGCAGCTCAAAAAGTTGAGAACCAACGAGACCATCCGTGAGCGGCTCGGGAAGCTTCCTAAGGGCCTCACTGAAGCGTACGATGAAATCTATTCACAAGCCGAAGAAAAGATTGTTTTACAACAGGCAGTCAAATGGGTATTATGCGCTGTAAGGCCATTGAAAAGCGAAATCCTACTGGCCGCTGTTCGCCTGGGGAGCAACCTTGAGTCCCTTGCTCTATCAGATTCCATTGACGAGTCAACCTCGGAGGGCAACCTTCCGTCCCTTACTCTGACAGACCCCATCGACGAACCAACCTTGGAGAGCATCTGTTCACACTTGGTTGTCCTAGACTCTCGGCTGAAGGTGTGGAGGTTTCCGCACGCATCAGTTGCAGAGTATTTCGAAGATCAACATAAGAGCTGGATAGGTAGAGCTCCTGAGGATGTGGCGATTCTGCTGGTTTCGTGTCTGATTGATTGCTACTCCGAATGGGCACCACACAAATCGGCAGACGAGACCAGAGAATTCCTCAAGAAGACACCAGATCTTGATAATCATCTGGATCCGCGGCATCCTCTTCAAGAATATGCGAGCTCATATTGGACACGGCACGCGCAAATCACTGTAAATCAGTGCCAGGAGGTGCCAGGTCTAGCAGAGATTGTTAAACGCTTCCTGGGAACTAGAGGACCTCAACAAATCTCCAGTCGGCAGTATCAAGCCTGGTGTCAGCTTCTGCGTATCAGGTCAGAACAACTGCTCGCTCCCTATTCTCCCCCTCAGGACGTACAACCATCAGAAAAATCCATATTTGGCATCTGTGCTTATGGACTCCACAGGTTGCTTGAGGGTTGGTGGGACAAAGACATCGACCTCTTACAAGTTAACAGCAGAGGGCTGGATTTACTGGCAATCGCTGCGAGGTACGGTCATGAGGAGCTTTGCTCCGAGCTCATTACCCATGGAGGCGATATACACAAGGAGCTGGACACTGAGCTTGGAAGCGCATTCATGGAAGCTGTAGATGAATCACAGACCCAGGTGGTGAAGCTGTTCCTGAAGGGGGGTGTAGATCCGAACCTTCTCAGACAGGACAGCAGTCCGCTCTGTGTAGCTGCACGTACTCAGAATGATGACCTAGGTGCGGTTACGGCTCTTCTGGAGGCAGGAGCGGATCCCAACATCAAATGTCCCTGTTGTGGCGGAGCGTTGACTACAGCCGCCTCCTTGGAAAAACATGAGATGGTGAAACTGCTTCTGGAACACGAGGCGGATGTAAATGGCTTGGCGGATCGATATGACCAGTTCGACAGCCCTCTCGTAGCAGCAGCATGGAGAGGTTCGCTACAGTGTGCAGAAATTTTGCTGAATAATGGAGCCAAGGTGAATGAGTATTTCTGCGGGGGATATGGCAGTGCTTTGGCTGCTGCAATATTTGGGTGGAGACCAGTCGAGATGGTCACGTACCTCATCGAGGAGGCCGGGGCTGACCCAACTGTCTTATTTTCAAGTCCGCCATGCATTTCCGAAATTGACGACGAAGACTGGGCCAAAGAAGAGTTGACATCCGAGAGGGTGCAAGCAGCATGGTATCTCATAGATGAGTGTAACATTGAAGAGAGCGCACTACGGAGCATTGGTTTTGAGACAGAAGAGCCTAATGACTTTGATAGCGAGGACGATAATGAGGACGATAGTGAGTACAACCATGGAGGGTAGTATATATATAGAAACAGCACTCAAGATTTAATGAGGCCACTTTCCCCATCGTCTACAGATGCTCTAGATTCTGTTATACAACTGGAATTTGACAGAACCTCATAATCATTCGTCAAAAGAGGCAAGTATAGTTTCCATGGCGTTGCTGCCCTTGTGTCTTCGGCTCACGAAACACTGGGCAACATCAGAAACTTGTCGCTATGTAATCATATAAAAGAGTCAAGGGGCACCTAATTGACGAAGCAATGTGCGATTGATATCGTCAGCAGCAAGTAATCTTCATGTCTGGACCGTGTATATGTAGCTAGGTAGAATATGGTCACCTGTGATGCTAAGTAAGAGGGAGCGTCTGAGTTGTATATCTAAGAAGGGTATAATTTCCGTCAAACATCCAAAACTGTTTGATGCATTATCTTCGAGATTAAAGCTTGCAAGCATACCATTGTTTAGCTGCAAAATTTGTCACTAGTTATCACCTACTTATAGCTGCTCATGCAGAGAAATAGTTTGATCCATAAGGTAGCCGTTTTTGCATCAATGTGTAGATCTGGTCGCCGATAAACAGTTAATCTCCTTGTCCGAGTTGTCTCTTATGAGTGAGTAGTTACTTTCTTCCACAAGGATATCAATATATCCATCCATAACGCTGCACTCGTAGAGCACTGAAGTCATCTCCAGTCCATTTAAGGTAGCCCCTCCCGTCTTGCCGTCTCACCCCACACAAGCTCGATCTGGTAGTGGCGGCAGTGGCGCAGTGGCTTCACAGCCTCAGCCGGCCTTTAGTCTCGACTTGCACGTTTCAGCCATTCTTCATAGTACACAGTTTTATACCTTTCTCGACGTGATCAAGAGCAGGCAAAAAAATCGAAGGGAAGCAAAGGGGGAATAAGGGAGTCAAAACACCGAAAAGACGACCCCTGAACAGTTTCTCCCGCCTCATTGCCATCGCTACAGGCTCTTGCGCCCAGCATGGGCACCCGGGGCGACGGATGGATCACCGTGGGCCGCCGCTTGGCCTTGGAGGAGGACGCAGAATCATGGGCTGAACAAGAGGTGAGGGAGCGAGTGGCCATGGCGGCCTGGGACAGTGACGAGCAGTGGCCCAGCGTGTGAGTCATTTCACGGCCATACCGTGGCCGCAGTTGGAGGCAGAGTCGAGGTTGCTTTTGGGCTGGAGTGGCAAGCTTGGACCGTACCTTTCCTTACCTTAGTAGCTAACTCGAATTTATCAAGACACAAACCGCTCTTCAACGGCCCTGACGCAAAGCGATTCGACGCCCGCCTGACGCCTCTCGACTACCTCGGCGGCGGCGCCTTTGGCCGCGTCGACAAGGTCCAGCATGGCTCCGTCTGCCTCGCCCGCAAGCGCATCATGCGCCGCCGCGGCCTGACAATCGAAGACTTGCGACAGGAAGGCCTGACGATGCGCAAGCTGGATCATCGCCATGTCGTCAAGCTCGTCGCCGCGTACATGCCCAGGCCGCACGAACTGTGCCTGCTCATCTGGCCCGCCGCCGTCTGCGATCTCGACACTCTGCTCGATAATTTGGACTCGATACGGACGGGAAAGGGGGACCGCGAAGACGTCTTGGCCAGGCTGGATGCGCTAGAACTCACCGATCTGAGCGCCATTGAGCCCGCCACGGAGACGCAGAACATGGATTCACTGGCGAAATGCCCGTTCGAGTTTCTCCGCGGCGTGGTCGGTTGCGCGGCTCGCGCAATGGCCTATTGCCATCTCAACGGCGTCCGCCATCTCGACATCAAGCCCTCAAATATCCTGCTTAAGCCCGGTCGTGTCTACCTCGCCGACTTTGGCATCTCCAAGGATGTTAGCGACCAGGAACAAACCACCATTGACGGCAACCCCGGGACGGAGAAGTGGCGCGCCCCGGAGCTGTATAGCGAGAACGGCTCTAGCATGCAGCTCTCCGACATCTACTCCCTAGGATTGGTGTATCTCAACATTGCAACTGTGCTTTACAACGTGAGGCTCTCCGAGTTTGAGGATGCCCTGACCTACCAAGCCGACCTCGCACGCAGCGAGAAGCTAGCAATACGCGAAGACAATCTAAGATGTCTTCTCGAGAAGCTCACCGCTCACGCCTTGGTGACGCCGCAATTCATGTTTACCTACGAGGGCCAAGAAACTGTAAGACCGCGGCCACTCGTAAACCTCATTGCCAAGATGATATCGTCCAACCCCCGTGCTCGGCTGTCGGCCGACAAAATCGACGAGAAGCTTTCCATGATCGGGGGCATCCACCAGATATATCACGGCGAGTGTTGTAAACGGCCGGTCTCATGGGTCGAGGACAAGTGGGACAAGAAGTTCGTCGCTCTCATGAGCCTCAAGGCGGAGAACGACGACCTGAAGAGAAAGATTGCCGAGCTACACGGCAGAGACGAAACATATGAGAAACGGCTGGAGAATGAGCGGAGAGCGCATGAACATGACGTTGCCAAACTCCAAGCTCTGCTGAAGAGTGCGGAAGAAAAGTGCCATATTCTTGAGCAAGCTCAGGCTCAAGCACAGGCGCAGGGTGGACGCAGAAGAGGTCATGACCGCGAGCATCGTCAGGCCGGTCAGGGATCGAAACCGCATGCTCCCCCTTCGCCAGCTTCGAAAAGGATCGGTCTCGGCTTGACAAAGGCTCGCTCGACACCGTCAGCAGTCCCACAACGGCCGCCGCTTCGGCCTTCATATCAGTCATCCCCTCGGGCCTCTGCAAACAACTTCAGTTCACCTACCCCACCATCTCGATCAACCGAATCGCTATCCAGATACAGCAACAGCTCAACCGTTAAGGCGGCCCAGCCAGTGTCGCCCGGCTTACCGAATCGGACCCCGAGCAACACAAGCTTATCGGGTTACATGCTACGATCTAGGGGATCAGGGTCCAAACTGCCCCTTCCTGTGACCCCTGGCAGTCGTTCAGGCACTCCAAACACTCCAAACCTCAACCAGGAGCAAAGCCTGACAGACAGCAGCATGTCGTCGTCCATCTTTTCCAGACAGAGCATAGACACCGTGCCAACACCAACTCACAACAGCCCGTCTGCGAGCAAGGTGCTCACAGCTGACGACAAGCCGGACATCCTCTGGGGGGATCTACCCCGTAGAGAACGAAGACCCTCTACGCCGCCACCGCCCCCAAGTCCAGGCCTGTCGCTGTCTCCTTCGATCATGTCATCACCTACGCCATCAAGGTCTGGCTTTGCTGAAGGCGAGGACGGGGATCCCAATGTGACTGTGAGGCCGCGAAGGATACCTTCCTTGAAACCGATGAAGAGCTGGGCTGAGGTGGCAAGAAAGGAGCTGAGCAGGATGGAGATTAGGCAGCTGAACCGGAAATGACGAAGGAAAACAAAAGAACTACTACGGGGACAGATACTAGATGCTATTCGGCAGAAAAGAAGAGACGGCGGGACTTTGATTGAAGTGTGACCGAAGAGCTGAATACTACTCTGCCTCATCATTCCAATGCCTCAGCATGGAATCACTATGCCTCGAACGTAACATCCTTGACAATGTTATAACTTGAGTTTGGATGTCTTCTCGGGTGTTGCAATAGTCGTCATGTGCCGGCACCAGTAGCATAACATTCCTTCGACATCTCTTGGGGCAACCTATTCAATGGTGCCACAAAACTCAAAAGATGTCTCAGTTGAAGCTACGGGAAGCTGAGTAGTTAGTTTATAAAGCTCTATATAACTCTAAAGTTAGTTAAGTTTTAGAGTTTTCAATGGAATGAATATAAAGTGATAAGATGGAATAAGACTGTGCTCTCAGTTGAAGGAGCATACTAGATTCCTTTGATTCCTTTGTAGTCATCACCCACACTTGCTCAAATGTAGAATATCTAGGTGATGTAAGTGGTTTATTTACTTTCACAGCTTTGAAGTAGGATCTAGATTCAGCTCTCCTATAGCTAGATTAGAGGAATCATCTATCTCATAACTTCAACTATTTAAAGGCGTGCATTGTCTCCTTTCATGCAAGATTATACTTGAGCTTTCTCTAAGCTTATTGACTTGTCTTGCATCACCACCATGTCTAACATACAATATGAAACTCCTTACACACAGAACTTCTATCACAAAGGCAAGTGACAAGCATAACTACCTACTTGATAATTGGTATGTATATTCACACATGCACCTGCAGGCGTCGACCTAAGCCCCCAAGAGCATGCTCAAGGAAGGATGGATGCCTTGCGAGCTGCTTCAGTGGAAGCAGCAAGGCTGGATCCTAACGTGGGTTCTGTCCAATACGGGACCCTGGTAGGCAACGGAGTTGGCAGCGACTGGGCTGTGGCTTTCTTTGATAAAGACTACAACGTTGCCGTTCAATTTGACGACAAAGACAAGAGGCTTGGTAAGAGGACGAGAAAGATTGGTTACACTCTGAGTGTGACTGTCATTCAAGAGTGCCGACCTATGACCGGGAACCCAGCGGACAAGCCCCGTCATATCATGGCGCCACTGTCGTGAATTGACGGATATATGCTGGTGGGAAAGGGGGACTTCTCTGGGAATGTTGCTTAATTTCCTTTGTTCTTCATTATGGTTTGGAGGGTTTCAACAACCCAGCCAGATAAGCAGGAGGGCCAACATTACTCTGGCAATTTTTCTAGTTTGGCTTCATATTCTTAATTGTCAATGTCCATCTTATATATGCTGAAATCAGGGTTTTCTATCCTGGGTGATAATCCTAGCAGTCTTGCGCCTGAAGTCTTAAGGTGCTGTCCGAGTATCAGAATTACAGGGTAGAGTTTCGTCGTCAGCCTTTCAACTCTGCCGCTGACCCGTTGTGAACAACACCAGCAGAACACACAAGCAGAGATTAATATAAGTCCAGGTCTAAAGACATAGCCGAATCAGCTTAGAAAGGGGAGATCTCGACTATTCATTCACTGGTACAACACCCTCGAAGCGCCATCAATTGATACTATCCTAGGATTGTTTATTGGAGCAAAGACTAGCCTCTAGATTTCACCACCCTGGCAATAATGCACACCTAGTAGATCTCCGCATATATATATATTTGAAGTGATATGGGGCAGCTTCGTGAGTTAGACTATAAGGGTGGAATACCGCACCTGCAAGTCCTCGGAGATAGAGTGCAGCGCCTTAGGCGATAGGGCTTTAGCCAGGGTCATGGCACTGCGGCACCTCTCCTTATTGCTTGTTCATGTGAGCGTTCCCTAGACTATCACTACGAGTCTCTGTTTATTCTTTATCCATATTAATGCCGCAGCGGGTGTATAGGATTGTCATAATAGTTACGGGGGGGTTTTGTTACCGGTATCGACAGCCGGCGGCTGATACGCAGCACTGCGTCATACTTTCCGACCCTAGCAGCAACTGTGTAGTCTCCCATATATGGAAAGCAACTCCTCGTGATACCTTCAAAATGATAGGATAATATAGATTAAAGCAGGTTCGCAATCACTTTCCCCAAAGTTTAGGTTGCCGTTGGACGAGCGTCAAGGGGATCAACGCCTAGCCTTCTGAAAGACAGACTGAAGTATAGATCAAGTCAGCTCAGCCTGACATTGTGTGATCTGACGACGCAAAGCTATGGCAGAGTAAAGAGAGTAGTAACCAAGTAATAGAGTGAAATACAGTCACATCCGGATAAGCTCGTCCCAAAGTTTGGAGTAAGACGTTAGTTTGCAGCCATAATAGCACTCATCCATGCTGCAAGAAATAGTGACCCGTCATCCAGCATATCGACGCATGGGATAGTATATCGGACATGGCATGTTATGATTCGGCCATAATATAACAGAGCCTCTCGTGGGGGATTGGGCCGGTCAATCCTTATTGAGCGTACTAACATTGTTAATCTGCTTGTGAGGCTGTGTGACTGGCGCATATCGTCAAGTCAAGATAAGAGGCTCCATTTCATTCTAGGTTCTCTCAGATCGTCTGCATTCTTGTCGAACGTAGACAATTGGAGTTTGCAGCCACAGGTGTACGCGTATACCGTTGCTCTCGACCTCCGTCCCAACAGTCTGGAGAGAGATCAGTTATGTATCTAGTGATCAGAGATTTGGAGCTTGGCATGAGGCTCATCATCACCTCAGCTGAGGGATGACGAGGCTTGGAGGATCGCCGCGGCTCAAAAACTCAGTCGCCTCGCCATATTTCGCGGTTGAGGGTTGGTTGGCTGTTTGTTTGTCTCCGGACGTGTTCGGTCGACCTGAGGAGGCTTCTTGATAGAGGGTGGTGGCAGAATTGGAGGAGCTGGATGCGGTAGGCGGTGGAGCGGCAGAAGTGGAAAGACGGGACCTTGCCGCGTGGGCCGCAAGCCGCAACGGATGGAAAGCAGTGGCATTTAGCGCCTAGTCTGTTTGTGATCTAGCGGCTGAGTGCAAGTAACATGAGTCCCGTCTCCATGAATCGCCCTGTTGGGGAGAAAACATACGCGGCAAGCAACTGCGCGAAGCAGCGATGGCCTCGAAAACCTTGAACTCATAATGTAAGGTATGTATCGAGTACACGCCCTAAGGCAGTCCACTTGAGGCCATCTCGTGTGTAGGTAGGTACCTAGGTAGGTACCTCTATACCTAACTGTTCTGGGCCGTAATTGCTCAATCAGGAAATGCACATCTCCGCCAATCAGCGGCTGTGTCTCGCTGACAAAGACAGCTGAGGCTGGCCGAAAGGCGCCCGGCACGGAAGTCGCCCTCCAGGCCCACAAGCAGTCCAGCGAGCCAGGGTACCGACTTCCTGATGCGGCTAGACGCCATCCTCGACCGCAAGCCTGGAGCAAGCGAGATGCTTAATAATGCAGCTTAGGTCACTCTTGAAGCGGCCTAGCAGCGTTGCATTAGATAATCGTACCGGCAGGTCCGTTTGGTCTGTCCAGAGGTACCAGCCTGTTATTGCTGTGAAGTACCCTGACTTGTCGAACATGGTTGAGGATATTGTTTGTGTGTGCAGCGCATTGAATATAGGCACAAGTAGATAGATAGCCATAGTTGAGAACAAGATCAAGATTATCTTCAACTTGTGGGTGCGTGAGAAAGTCGACTCAACTCTGTTGCGGGTAGTGCAACTACTATCTACTCTACTTTAGTTGCGCAACCCTTTCGACAAAAGTCAAGCCAAAAAGACTCAAGTTGCCGACGTCAGAAACGGGCTGCAGCTGCTTCGTAATCGGCAGCCATCCATAGAACATGAACCAGGCGCTAGCAATAAGGCGCAATCTAGCGGTTGACGGGCTGCATGTGCTCAAGGCAACCCTCCCCAAAAGCCGCTGGACTCGCTGAGCTTCCATTCCTTGGCTTCCGGGACAGCTGTCGAGCTTCGACTTCTTCAGGCACATGTTCCCACACCACATACCAGCTCTACCCGTCTTCCACAACTCGTGCTACTAATAGCACAATAACTCATCCCGGCTCTGCCTCAGCAACCGTCTACATACTATATACCTCTTCTTCCGCCTCTTCTGACCAGGACCTCCCTGCCACCAAAGTCTCCGTCCCTGTAGGGCTGGGTCTGTATTATCAGCATCAACCGCCCCCCCTCCTCTCACAACACCACTCCCCAGTCCTGCGGCCCCTGACCCCCAAAGGAGATCCCTGCATCGGATCCGTCCACCCAGAGTCCCAGCTGCGTCAACCCTTGCAAGGCCGCCCAACAAAGCCTGGGCTGCGCTCCTGTGCGGTCTTGTGCGGTGCGGAGCGGTACAAAGACGTGCGGCTGGTCAGCGAGAGCCGCTGCACCTGGTCTGGTCTGGCCGTCTGAGACGGGTGGTGCCTTTACCCTCTTCACACCTGTGCTCTCAGTCCTACGAGTTGCGGCTCACCGAAGCTCTGCTCACACGGACGAACACGGATGAAAATACATGACCGGGAGAGTAAGCCTGCATCGACTCTCCGTGCTTATAACGAAAGAGTACTACCATTGGCACACTCTTGCATACTCCCCACGCCGTTTGCCAACTGACCCCCAAACGTCACGGCTCTCTATACTTGTCGCGGTGCTTTTCTCTTATTTCAACTTGATTATTATACCTTGACCCATCCTGGCTGTCCGTTGGATTATTATTCTATAATCCCACTATTATCCTATCTTTACGCAGAACATAGTCGCTTGGTTTCTTGGGCCTTTTCCGGCTCGACTAATCAACCAACCACTCAACAACCCATTCATCCGGCAGCTGAACACACACAGCGCAAGACAATGAGTCGCGTAACGCGATCCGCCCTGCCGTCGCTTCAGAGCGAAATCTCGATCCTCAACGCCGAAAAGTATGGCGAGCTGCCGAGAAGCCCGCCAGAGTCCCGGGCCGACGATATTGTCGTCAATGGCAAGCGCTCGTCGCCGTCGGATCACGACGAGGAGGATGGCGTGCAGAAGAAGAGGTCCAGGGGCCGGCCGAGGCTGGACACCAAGGACGAGACGGCAGCCGATGTAAGTACGGACGCTGTGATGGCCGAGTATGATGCTATTCATTATTACCCTGACCACCACCATTTCAACTCTTGCTGTGTCTCTTCCTTACCCTTGTCAACTCCTTTACCATGTTATGCCCAACTTGTATACGCATACATGCCAACGGCATTCTAACCCACCACGTCTCTGCAGCGCCGCCGCACCCAGATTCGTCTCGCTCAGCGAGCGTACAGACACCGCAAAGATACCGCCATCACCACCCTTGAGCAGAGAGTCAAGGACCTGGAAGCCTCCAACGAGGCCATGAGCAAAGAGTTCACCAACTTCTACGACATTATCCTATCCGAAGGCATCTTTGACCTCGCCCCCCATGCCGCCCCTCGCCTCCGACTCATCGCCGACAGGCTTCTACGCATCTCCAGCATGGTGGAAACCGGCAACATCACGCCCCCAGAAAGCGACGACCCCATCACGGCCAAGCCTGCGGTAACAGGGAAGGGAGCCAACGACATCACCGCAGACCTCGCGGCTCAAGCCGTCGTTCTGGAGCCTGAATTTGCGACTTCTTTCTCTAATACCCAGCAGCACCACCCGACTGCCTTCAACTACGAGGTCATTGCCCAAGCTACGCCAAACAACGCCAGCTTCCCCTTCTTCGCCGCCTTTGAGACGACGACAACCTCACAGCCCCAGAGCAGCAGCTACTTGAGCAATCCCTCGCCTTATCCCCGACTCTCGCCTCCGGTATTCGGCTTCACCGAGCGCACCTTTAGCAAGAGGTTACAAAAGACAACCCTCGAACGCGGGCTCAGGCTGGCCACGATGAAGAATCCGCCGCCCGAGCAATATGCAACCGTCTTTGGCTTCTGCCTGCTCTTCGAGTCCCGCGATGCCATCATCCGCAGATTAGCTGCTGGGCTGAAGAGGGTACAGAACGAAAGCTTGGACTGGAAGATGACATCTTCGGATCAGTTTGGGTTCTTGGACAATGCCTTTGCAACGGCCGGCGCCGACGATCTGGGCCATGCGCTGCTGTCCTTGGGCAAACCGACCGCCAACTTTTCCGGCCTGACAGCGTCCTTTGGTCAACAACCACCGGCCAGCTCAGATGAAAGGACCGAGCAGCGGATACGGATGATATGCCAGAATTTTGAAGGCGAATTCTTCACGGCCGATGAAGTAGAGCTGTTTCTGCGCAAAATCGGCCTCGTCATCCCGCCTAATGTCGATTATTTCGAAACAGAGCTAGATCTCAACGACCTGCAAGCCGCCGATGAGGCCAGCACAAAGAACCTCTTTTCCGGCATTGGCCTGTCCCCGGGAAGCTCCGGCCTAGGCAGCGGCAACAGCAGCAGCAACAACAACAGTAACAGCATGTGGCACATGAACGCCTCTTCGATGGGTGATCTCTCGAGTGCCCTCAGGGGAGACTCGTCTGAAGGTCAGAACACACGCAAGACTGTGTTTGGAGAAGAGTCTGACTTGGCTGGGGAAGTAGCTGCATTCTTGAACAGCCACGATCTTGGCCAGATGTGGTCTACGGGGTCGAGTTGGCCAAAGACAAAGGTTTCTGTTGATGTTCGAAGGCTGATAGATGGTATGTATCTTTAGTCTCTTTTTGATTTGGTTTTAACTGCTGACATTTAGTAGAGCTTGGGAGTCGATCGGTCTGTCTTGGAAGGGTGCCTGGTGTTCGGCCAAAGGACGTGATCAGGGCTGTCAAGATTGCCGCAGGCTTGCCAGTGACCACGCCGTGATACGCGACACTACGGGGAAACGTCTCGACATGTGCGCCACTATATTGTTCGATGGAGGGGGAAAAGCATTTGTGTGAAGGGATACTTGATAATTAATAAGGGGAAAGCATACTCGGGCAAAACATTACGGCCATGGATTGATTCTGGGAGCAATGGGAGTTTATAAGGGATATACCATGGAAGTCCAGGATCACCTGGCCATTATCTACACATATACGATGTTTTTTGGCCTCATAGTATGTCCAACATGTACGTGAAAAGAAAGTCTGAACATTCTTTTCAAAATTAAATGACTTGAAGTGACATCTTCGGGGGACCTGCCTCAATATGCTTGGTTCGTGCACCTGTAGACGGATGTCTCAAACTTAAGGTAGGTAGACAGAATGGAAGATGTCCCGAACTGGACACGGATGAGTAAGAAAGTCCCAAACAGGCAGGTCTCCCACTCCACGCGGGTTTATCAGTTGCGCAACTCCGCCTTATCACGACCTCGCCATCGATCGATCGACGACTCATAACCCTGACACTCTCTTCATCTTGAACTAATACCCAGAGCTCAAGAAGTGTTTGATTCCATATCATCATGGAATATAGAAAACAACCTGTTGTAGAGGCTGGAGTGCATATCCAGCCCCGACTGATCATCCACGGCGGCGCGGGCAACATCCAACGGAGCAATTTCCCTGCTGAAAAGTATGCTGCCTACCGAGATGCTCTTTTATCAATTGTAAGTCCATTCATCTCTCTATAGATCTTCGAAGACATCATCTCTCATCACAACTCAGATCAAAGAACCTTTCTTGCAACCCCATGTACTGACACAAACCACAGGTCACCAAAACCCAAGCCTTCATGAACTCCTCAACCTCATCCTCATCTTCAAGCCCATACCCAGAGGAAAAGAAGAAAAGGCACCCCTCCGCCCTCGACATCGCAACCCACGCCGTCGTCCTCCTCGAAGACAACCCCCTCTTCAACAGCGGCCACGGCGCAGTCTTCACCCGCGACGGCATCAACGAGCTCGAGGCCTCCGTCATGGTCTCCCGCGGCCTCAAGAAGCGCGGCGTCGGCGTCATGGGCCTGCGGAGAGTGCGCAACCCCATCTTGCTGGCCAAGAAGATGCTTGAGCACGGCGAGGACGATCTTGCGCCGGCGGGGTCTGTGCCTTCTTCTTCTTCTTCTTCTTGTGTTTCTTCATTTGGTACCTCTGCCTCACTGGTGGACGATGTTGACGATGGCGATGGCGGTGTTATCAAGGGGGTTGTAGAAAGGAACGATGATTTGGACGTCCCCTCTGCTCAAGGGCATACCCAGCTCCACGGCCCAACAGCCGAAAAGCTCGCGGCAAAGTACAACCTCCCCCTCGTCGACCCGAGCTACTTCTTCACCCAACAGCGCTGGGACGAACACATCCGCGCCCTCGAGCGAGAGAAATCAGGCATCGCATCATCATCGTCATCATCAGCGACGTGGCACGCGGATGAGTATCTCCCCCAGGGCACTTGCGGCGCCGTCGCCCTGGATGCAGAGGGCGTCATATGCGCGGCCACGAGCACGGGCGGCATGACCAACAAGCTGACGGGCCGCATCGGCGACACGCCCGTCGTAGGTGCTGGGTTCTGGGCCGAAGAGTGGGATGAAGAGGAGGGCGCAGCAGACGGTTTCAGGGCAGAGCCAGGCAGCATCATCAGCTTTGCTGGTCCGTTGAAGGGCTTGTTGGCAGACTGCTTCCCCACGCCGTGGATGTACTCGCCCTCTCCCTCCTTTTCACCCCTTCTCGAAACGACGTCGACAACAACAACAACAACTCGCTCCGTGGGCTTCTCGGGCACCGGCAACGGCGACTCGTTCCTGCGCGTCAACGCCGTCCGCACCGTTGCCGCCATTGCGCGCTACAGACCTTGTCCGGGGAGCCTCGCGCTGGCGAAAGTTGCCGCTCCGGGGGGCCAGCTGCAGCAGAGCGCGGGGGATCGCTGGGGACGCACGGGAGAGGGCGAGGGGGGCATCATTGGGCTCGAGTGCGTGCTTGATCGAGATGAGCGTGGGCGGGTCGTGGGAGTGCGGTCGGAGGTGTTGATGGAGTATAACTGCGGTGGAATGTATCGTGCTTGGATCGATGACGAGGAGAAGCCGGTTATGAGCATCTGGTCGAATGGGTCTGCGGATGAGCTGTGTGAGCCTTGTTTGAATTGATGTGCACCACTTTGAAAGGGATATCTAGACGTAAGAAAGTCCAACGTTGAGATTTCGGGGACAGAAAATGTCCAATTCTTTCATTCTCGTCCATGGGATTCACCGTCCCATTGGCCTCGTTTCCCAATAATATAGCTATACACAGGCGGCGTGCCTCATCCATTGCCGCACCTTGTTCTCATATAATAATCGTACATGTGAATGGCTCACAAATACCATTGCCTTGGGGCCCAAGAGCTTTGCGAGTCTGCATCTCGCGCATCTTGGGCGACCTGCCGGTTCCCCTCAGTTTCCCCCTCCATATCTATAAGCCACGGAGAAAAACGCCATTGCGATGCGGTTTGCAGATATCCATAATATTGATCGTTTTGACTTCAAGTTTCTTCCTTCGTCTCCCGTCTTTTTTGTTGTGTTCGGGTGGTTCTTATATCCTCGCACAGCCTCTGACGCCGCAGAGCCCGCAAGAAATAAATCAGTCGTGCGTCAAGAGTCGAAAACGCCGAGACCAGGAAAGCGATAAAAGGTTACAAATCAAAAGAAAAGGGCAGAGTTGAGAGATGTATGGTGTCGATTCGGGTTTTTTCTCGTTCGTTTCGGTTCATCCTTCTTTTTTTTTTCCTCGGTCTCGGTCCGCTCACATGGCCTGGACTTCGGAGTTGGGCGGCGGCTGGGGCATCTCCAGCTTCGTTGATCCAGCCATCATCTTGCCAAAGGCGATGCCGACGCCCTCGATGACGGCCAGCAGGACGGCGCAGCCAATGGCGTTGTTTCGAGCGGCCTTGACACCGCCACGGAAGGCGAGGGAGCCGCCGGTGAAGAAGCCGGCACTGCGCAAAAGGTTAGATCTGACGTGTTCTACCAAAGCCGGATACTCAAGCCCCCTCCAATTCTCGGGCGGCGACGGGATCAATGCTCACATGATGGCGTTGTAAGGGTCCTCCTTCTTCCGGATGCCCTTGACGGCGCAGTCAAAGGTCGAGAAGAGACCGCCCCAGACACCAAAGTTGCCGCCCAGGACGGGCGCCCGCATCTTGACGGCGGTGATGGCGCCGATGCGGCGCTCGCCGTAGGGAGAGTTTCGGAAGCCCTTGATGCCGTGCCAGATGGTTCCGCCAATAGCCTGTATGCAGTCCAACAGTCAGCCGGTCAGTTTCGCTGTGGTGTTTCGCGGTCTTGCGTCGATGACAGCATGTGGTGATGCCAAGGTGGGGGGAAGGGAGGAGGAGAGAGCGGAAAGAGGCTTTAACACGTACGCCCATGGCAAAGGCACCACCAAAGTCATTGAGAATGACGTAGGGGCAGGGGTCGCGTCCGTGATCCATGGCTGTAGGAGAGGAAAGAAAGGCTGGACTTGGGAGATCGGGTTGAGGCGAGGCGGAGGGAGATGATGCGGGTGCGATATCGTCAGCCTTGGTGGTGAGGAAAGGGAAAAAAAAAAGTCGGTTTGCGCTGGCTTTGGCTGAGTCCGGCTTGGCTGGCGACTGGAATTGGCTAGAAGGGAAAATTCGGGCCGCGGTGCTTGTTCCGTTTTTTTCGCGGGCGTGGCGGAATGCGTTCCGTTTGGGGAACGGTGGCACTCTCCGTTTAAGACGGGAGTGAACGTTTGGAACGGAGCGACAGCTCCTCAATGAAACCCCGTAGTAATACTAATTACTGCATTATGGGAATGTGACGTTCAGGAGCGCCTGAAGGCAACTAGCGCCTTTAGATCATATGCTTAGGAACATAAATACAGAGCCCTAGAATATAGGTAAATATATTTAGCTAGCTATAATAGTATTTTTCCTTTTTCTTCCTCTTTCTAATATAAGGCTATTTAAATAATCCTATTTTTAGCCTTAAATTATTACAGTTATAAGCCTAAATAGTATAAGAGTACCTTATTAATAACTTCCTATATGCCTTTTATACTATTTTATTATATTTATACACTTATTTTCCTTAAATCTTATAATAGAATTAATTAAAGATTTCTTAGCTATACTACTAGTATTAGTTAAGCTTATAGCATAACTAGATTAATTAAATTAAATTAAAACACTTAAGTCTTTTACTTAAGTATATAGGATTTAAGAGAAGATTAATCTTAAGCTCTTATTAGCTGCTAGTAATAACTTTATAACTAATAAAGTTCTTTTATAAGAAGATATAAAGTAAAAGCTAGCAGCTGCTTTAGGTAAAGATAATCTGCTTTTAAAGCTTTAGGAGATAATAGCTATATATTATGCCTAGCTCCTTAAATTCTAATTTAAATAATTAAATACTTTTAATTTAAAAAAGAAGAATAATGCTATATGCTTTTAAATTATTAAGACTATTAGCAGAGGAATTTATTAAGCCTTTAAGGATACTTTTAAAAAAAATAATAAAGGAGAGATTAATAAATATAAAGTTATTATAACCTATAAGCTTCTAAGAGGTTTTAAAAAGATAATTACTTTTAGTAACTTAAGCATTTTTAAGGCTATGCAGAAGAGCTATTAAGCAGTGCTAAATAAGGCCTATGCCTTAAAAATAAACCCTTAAGCTTAGTTTAACTATTAGTTTAAGGCAGCAGTAAGGGTATTTTAACTATAGATTTTAAAGATCTAAGGTAATATAGCTATTATTAATTTCCTAAGCGTAGTATTAGTTAGGTTTACCTTAACCTAGGCAATATAAGCCCTAAATAAGCTTATAATTTTAAAAATAACTAAAATATCTCCTATCTCTTTCTTATACTAGTATAAAGCTATATTTTATATAATTATAAAATATTAACTAGTAGGGAAAAGAAATAAAATATATCCTATATTAGCTAAAAGATTAAATACTCTTAAAGGTGCAGTTAAAAGCAGACTAAGTAGTAAAAGGCAAGGTTTATTTTTTAAGGAATATCCTTATAAGAATAAAAAAGAGGAAGGTTATGCATAGCTACTTAAGTAATACTAAAAGCTAAAATATGCCTTAACTAAAAAGAAGAATCCTAAGATATATAGCATACCTTTTAAGGCCTATATTAAGATTATTTATAATTACTACTAATTAAACACCTAAAAGGAGTTATATTTAAAGAATCTTTTCTAAGCGCAGGATTATAGCAGTAATAGCCTTAAGCTAACTAAATCTATACCTAATAAACTAATTACAGCGCTTATTAACCTTATTAGCTTTCTTAATTTAAAAAGCAGACTAAGGATATATACTATATTTAAAAATAGCATTTATCTACTTTTATAAAGCACCCTGCTAAATTCCTATAGCACTCTCTATTTAGTTAATAATATTAACTTACTTAAAAAAGGAATATTTATTTCTAATATAAGTAAAGACTTTATAAAAGCAGGCACTATATAATTCCTTATATTTAGTAAAGGCATAAGGGTTATTAAGAGAGCACTAGAAGGAGAGGATAGAAATTTAAAAATAAATCTTATACTTAAAGATATTATTATTATTAAAGGCTTTTATATTAATATAGTCTTAAAAGCTCGCTTATATTAATTAAAAGCTTAGTACTTAGGTTATAATTACTTACTATACTTTAAAAAGCCTGCTAACTAAATAGTATTAGCTAAGCTTATGTATAAGTATAATTTACTATTCCTTTAATATAACCCTATTTCCCCTTCTTATATAAGCATATAGCTTACTAAAGCTATATATAATAAAGCATTAAATTAAGGCATTTATAATATAATAAGAAGAAAAAGACTATTAAAAGATCTACCTTTTTTAAGATCTAACTCTAAATATCTATAGTATTTATAATTAGGCTATCTAAGACCAGCCGCCCTTAAGGTAATAGTATATTATATAAGGAATATATAAATTAATAGAATTAAGCAGCTAGACTGTAAATTCTATACTCTAGCTAAGGCTAAGTAAGTAATTTTAAGGAGACTGTTAAAAAGACGCTTACTAAAACCCTTTTAGTAACTTTATTAGGATTTTTAGAATTATAATCTAGGTTTTAATAAAAGTAATTAGCTCCTTTTAATTAAAAATAAATATAGCAGATAGATATATATATAGCTACTACCTAATAAAAAGTAACTTATAATTTTTTATACTCTTTTTAACTTTATTAGCTGCATAAAGAGATAATATAAACTTAATATTATTATTTTATAGTAGGATAATAAGAAAGCTGTAATTATAATTTAAGGCAAGTCTTTATTTTAAAAAGAAGTAGAGTATTATAGCCTTATTCTTAAATTAGCACCTTCTTATACTTATAAGCTAAATAAGGGTAAAAAGCATGCTAATAAAGAGATAACAGTTAAATCTATTAAAATAATCTCTACAGCTAATTTACTAATAAACCTTTAGCTTAAAAGTATAGTAGCAGCTGTATATTTATATAATATAAGCCTATCTTAGGCTAATAAAATGCTTAGTCTAATAAATTGCCTTAAATATTAGTTTAAGGATTTTACTTCTTTAAAAATTTATTATTATAAAGTAGACTTAAGGCCAGACTAAAGCAGGATTTATATATATAGCTGCTATGCCTATATATTAAATAAAAAATGCAAGGTAAATAAGAATAGGAAATTATTTAAAATAAGCCTTAAAGGTCTAATTAAATATTTTATTAGCTATTCTGCTTTTAATATATATTATATCTAGATTCCTTAACTTAGCAGAGTCTTAAAGACTAGGAATATTATATTTAATAAGACTATATTTTTTAAACTATAGGAGCTGCTAGCTCTTAAGCTTTTTAATAAGCAGCTAAATAAGCTATTTAATAATATCTTAAAAGAGGAAGATATTAATATCTTAATACTACTATTAAGCCTCTATCTTTATAACTTAAAAAAACCTACTAAGCAGCCTATAGTATATATAAGCTAGGGGGTAGAGAAGGAAGTATAGAAAATCCCTTAAATTATAATAAAAGGACCTGCTGCTGTAGATAAAGAAGCCCCTACACTTATAAGGCTAAACACACCTTATAATATTTTAAAAAGAGAGCTAGATTACGCCCTAGCGCTAAAATAAAAGTATACTCTTAAGCACTTAGCTAGTATGCAAAATATAAGTAGCTAAGTAAAGGATTAACTATAAATACTAATAAGAAGTCAGCCCCTTAAAGGAGTTATAGCTAAAGAACCTTAAACACTAGAATTTAATAAAAATAAGCAGATCTAGTAGTAATTATAAGCTTTAAAAAAAGCTAAGGAAGCTGCTAAATTTATAAAGGGATTTATAATAGTAAAAAGTGGTATTAATAATAGTAAAGATAAAGTTTTACCTTAGAAAGAAGTTTAACCTCTTACTTTATTATATAAAAGTGTATAGCTTTATAAAGAATAACCTTTAAGGGCAGTTAATAACTATTCCCTTAATTAAAAAAGAAGGACTAAATATAATAAAGTTAAGGATAGGATTTATATTATTATTATAAGCTTTTTTAAATTACTATTAGATAGGATATAGCTTAATAAGATTAGCCTATTTAGTGTAGATATAAAGATTACTAAAACTGTTTTTATAATACTTAATAAAGCAGCTAAGTAAAAAAGCGCTTATAAAATAAAAGCAGTATTAAGCAGGCTATGCATTTACTTTAATAACCTAGCTAAGCTACTAAATAGCTAGAGAGAGATATAAAAGCATTTATTAAAAAAGAAGTTTAAGGAAGCTGTAAAAGTTAAGATTTAAGTATTATAATTTAAGGGAATATAAAAAAAGATCTTAATTAATAAAGTAAAGATAATGCTATTGCTAATAAAATAGGTATTTACCTATAAGTTTAACTAAGATAGCTATCTTAACTACTATAAGGCAAGACTTATAGTAAGGGGGGATTTATAAGACTAATTTATAATTAAGAGTATATATACTACTACACTTACAGTATATTTATTTTATATACTAATTGCTCTAGCTATAAGATTTAAGCTTAAAATTAAGCAGTATAATATTAAAAATGCGTTTATTAATACATCTTAGGATAAAGATAGCCTCCTTATTATAATATAAATGCTAAAGGGATTTTATAAAGCTAACACCTATCTAAAGCTTAAAAAAGCTTTATATAGTTTTAGGGATTTACTAAAGTTATAGTTTAATAAGTTCTCTTTAACTTTAATAAATTTAAGGATAGAAGTATGCCTTAAAAAGCTATGCCTTTTTTATATACTAAATAGGAAGGTATTTATAAAATTCTATATAAATAATATCCTTATTGCCTATTATAAAGAAGATAAAGCTTATTTCCTTAAAATTAAGCGCTAAATTAAGGCTAAGTATAAGTTATATAAAGGGGGAGATGCTAAATAGTTTTTAAGAATTAAAATTATTAAGAATTATATAAAGCGTTTAATCTATCTGTCTTATAATATATATCTTAAAAAAGTTATATAGTAATTTAATCTTATAAAAAGAGACTAGAATTTAGAGATTCCTATTCCTATAAAGGAATATAGGAAAAACCTAAAAACAGCTATACCTTAAAAAATTAAGCTATATTAAAAAAAGATCAGCTCTGCGCTTTATAATATAATTATAATCTAACTAGATATTATATTTACAGTATTAATACTATCTCATTTCTTTATAAATCTATTAAAGGAATATGCAGATGCTGCTAACTAGCTTATTTACTATCTCTATATTAAGAGATACCTTGCTATTTAATATAAAGGTAGTAAAAGAATAAAGGTCTTAAATACCTTAAGTAATACTTTATTTAGTAATAATTTAAAGACTAGGAAGTTATTATAAGGATATCTTATTTTCTTATTTAGCAGCGCTATTCTTTAAAATATAACTTAGTAAGCCACTATTAGTATAAGTATAATAAAAGCTAAGCTAATTATATTAAGTTAAATAGTAAGAGAGACTATTACCTTACAGCGCCTTTTTAAGTAAATTAAATTTAACCCTAGGGTTAACTAGAATATTAATTATAATAATTAGCAGACTATTTACCTTATAATTAATCTAAGTATAAGAATTAATATATACCTCTGCTATATAAATATCTAGAATATATAATTAAAGCAGGAATATAAATATAGCTTTATAAATATTATTTATATGCTTACTAATAAAATACTAGCTAATAGACTTATAAAGGCTTTGCTTTATTAGTGTTTTAAGCATTTTATAAAGCTCTTAAAGCTATATAACCTTAGTAAGAAAAAAGCAGGTAATTTATAAAAAATATAAGAAATAAAGCAGTAGAGTAGGCTAGTAAAAATAATATATAAAGTTAATTTAAATAAAATAAAAATATTAATAAACTAGGCTTTTAATAACTAGCGCCTACTTATAGAAAATATACTTAGCTATAGTCTTCTAGGCCTTCTTAGCCTTTATTTTCTTATCCTCTACCTTAGTTAGATCTAGCGCTATATCCTTATTATTTAATATCTTAAAAAAGAGGCGCAGGGCTGCATAATAAGTATTAAGAGTCTGCTAGTTTATTAGTATTTAAGTATATAATTTAAGATAAAAAAAGATATACCTTTTTATCTAACTTTTTAGCAGTATGCTTTATTTATTAAATAAATAGTACTAATATAAAATAACTATATATATACAGTTAGTAAATTATATAATTAAATAAAAGGAATTAAGCTTATTATAAGGGATAATAGTATAACCTGGCTATATATAGCATATAGCACTAAAAGCAGCTGCTAGCATTAATATAATAAGAATAGTTAGGCCTTTAGCCTGCTAATAAGGCCTGGATATAATTCTTATAAGCAGGATCTTATTAAGCCAGGGGCATAGGATTAGTAAAAGGACCTGCAGCTATATAAGGTCTTAAAGTTATTATTATCTTCTTCTTTATCTAAAAATAATAGATTAGTATAATAAGATTAAATAAAAGAGATAAAATAAGATAAATAATATTAGCAGGCTGCTTACCCCTAGACTTAGCAAAGGGCTTAAGGGCAGCAGTCTTTTTAAAAGGTATAGCAGCAGTAATAATAATAATAATAATAATAATAATAATTAAAAAAGAAGGGAGTAAAAGCAGAGGATTAAAAGCTTATTTATCTATTCTAAAGCTTCTTTTAAACAGCTTTACTTTATAAATGTAAGGGCTAATTATTCCTTTATTATTTACTGCACTATGCTTTATAAATAAAGCTTTTATTTACTTTTCTTTAATAATATAACTTTATATATTCTGCTATTATTTCTAATATAAAGGAGCTTATAAATAGTAGCCTAAGCATAGGCTTTAATAATAAGGTTATTAAAGGAATAAAAACACTAAGGATTTTATTATTTAGTTAAAGGGAATGCATTTATAATGCTTCCTTTAACTAGGGGGTGTGTAACATTTAGGAGCGCCTAAAGGCAACTAGCGCCTTTAGATTATATGCTTAGGAATATAAATATAAAGCCCTAGAATATAGGTAAATATATTTAGCTAGTCATAATAGTATTTTTCCTTTTTCTTCCTCTTTCTAATATAAGGCTATTTAAATGATTCTATTTTTGGCCCTAAATTGTCACAGGGAATAATAACTGAGGGAAATGGCCAAATGAATTATACGATGAGTTGCAAGATTTGTCCAACTCTCAAGCATGGCCTTTAATTCAAGGAACTCATAACGCCAGCAGTGGCATTTGAAGCTATCAGCGTTATGCGCATATCAAGTCACGAATTCTCGAAGGTACCTATGGCAGGGTAGAGAGATATTTTCTCTTTCTCGTTCTGCTGCCTGGCGGCACCTCAAAGCAAACAACAGAACAGAAGCCATTCGGCTTCGGCTCTCAACCACGGCTCGCAGCTTCACCAACGACCAGAAACTCCACGATTCACATCACCAACGCTTTCTACAGTCGCTTCTCTTGCCCTAGCAGACAAACGCATTAACCACGTTTGGCACGCCTCCGTCCTAGCAGACCTTGAGAATCGGCCAACTTCTAGCACGGGATCCTGTTATTATAGTCTCGTCAAATCAAGGCGACTTACATGACCCCTCTTCTACCCGCCGATTTTGCCGTGTTGTTCCTTTGAGGCTCTTTATGTGGTTAACACAGGCAGTCCGCGGGGCCCCGATGTCTTTTCCAGCATGGCTCGCCGAACCCGAGAACCAAGGCCCCGGAAATCCTTGTTTCTCCAAAGCTTTCTTTTTTCGTTGGTCGATTTCCATTTACGATGTGACATCCTGACATTGTTCCAAGCCTGCCTTGCATAAAAGAATTGCCCACCCATCCTTGTCACTGTTCGTTGTAGCCTCCATCCTGGGTCACAGTCATTCCTTGATCCTACATAAACGCCATCATGCCTCTCGTTGTCGTCCCAGCAACAGAAGCAGACCTCCCTCGCTCCTTTGCCATAGAAAGACGAGCCTATGGCCCCAACAAGACCAGCCCGATCCTGTTCCCGGGAGAGGGCCTCAGCCTCGAGGACCGCGTCGCCCAGATGTCGGCGCGCAAGAGAGATGATCCAGCCTGTCAGTGGATCAAGGTTGTCGATGTAGACTTGGAAGCCAAGGGCGAGGAGAGCATGATTGCCTTTTCGCAGTGGTTCGTCTACTCGGACGGCGTCAAGCCCAGCCTGCCCAAGAGGTCGTGGGGTGCAGGTACCAACCCCGAGGCTTGTGACGCCTTTTTCGGGGAGATGGATCGCAGGTGGTGGGATCGCTTTGAGGGAAAGTCTCACCTCTGTAAGTCACCACTTGATATGATCCATTGTCACCAACTTCAAAAGCTAGCGGACTCATCGTTTCCACGCAGACCTCAAGCTCCTCCACACTGACCCGGACCATCAAAGACGCGGCGCCGGCAGCTTGTGTCTCCAATGGGGCACCGCCGAGGCCGACAGGCTGGGCCTCGTCTCGTATCTCGAGGCTTCTGAGGAGGGCCGGCCGCTGTATGAAAAGTTTGGCTTCAAGGAGGTAGGCCGGGTTGTTGTTGACTTGTCGAAATGGGGCGGCACGGAGCCTGCAACGGCATATCTGATGGTTCGCGAGCCGCTGCTCAATTAAGCCTCCTTGAGAGAGTCGAGACAGTCTTGCCAGTGGTTCATATTTTGTTTTTGTCGATAGCCAGCGGCTGTATGAGCTTATATTTATGTACCGTATCTAGTAGGCGTCAATGAAAATGAGAGGTTTCCCTTTTCAATAATTCACTGGTTCACTGCGTCAAGTCTAGTCATCTCGATCCTTCACCGATGCATTCACCGCCAGTGTAACAGCTCAATAACACCCACCGTTCATCTTTCCGCGTCAAAGACAGCCTCGCCTTAACGACATCATGGAATGCGCCACAACTTACACACGAGCGCCAAAAAGCCAGACTTGCAAGACAGCCAAAAGCCATTTTCTCGCCGATGACTCAGTGCGGCTGATTCTGCAAGGACGCAGTCACAGCACCAAAGCCACAAACAACACGCCAACGTCTCCAATGAGAGCGATAGTCCAAGCCTTGGAAAAGAAAGAACAATGACATCTTATCGGATGAGGAGAATTGACCATAAATACCAAGCGGACGAGAACCCCAACCACTCATCTCTCGCGTCGGACGATATCAGAACCTTCACTGTTGACCAGCTAAACGTTTCCTCGAAACAACTTCCACAACTATACGCTCTTCCATCGACTTGAAAATGGCAGAATCATCGGATCAGTCTGAACCCATCTACTTCTGGAGGGAAACAGATCCCCAGACAGGCTATCTCTCCCAATGGTACCACTGTCCCTTTCGAGACGACAAAGACCCAAACATCATCTACGAAACAGCAGAACAGTGAGTCAGAAGCCATACTTCTGCCCAATTCTCAACCCCAATCATCATCCTTCTGATCTCATATATGTGCTGAGAAGAAAAAAACAGCTACATGATGTACCAAAAAGCACTCCTCTTCAACGACCAAGCCTCCGCACACAAAATCCTCTCCAGAGGCCAAACCCCCCGCAAAGTAAAGTCCCTCGGCCGCAAAGTCGCAAACTTCTCCGAAGCGACGTGGAACGCCAAGCGCGAGGTCATTGTCCGGCAGGGCAACTACCTGAAGTTCACAAACGCCGTCAAGGAAGTCGGCTTCTGCCGTGGCTCGGCTGCTTCGGCGGGCGAGCCGCTTGTGGGAGGGTCGTTGAGGGAGACGCTGCTGAGCACGGGGCAGAGGGAGCTTGTTGAGGCGAGTCCGTTTGATGCCGTTTGGGGGATTGGGCTGAAGGCTGCGGATGCGGATGCGGGTGGGAATAGGGAGGCTTGGGGACTGAATCTCCTGGGAAAGGCGTTGATGGATGTGCGCGAGAGGTTGCGGGAGGGGAAGGCGGCGGCTGCTCGTGTTTGACTGGAATGAAAGGCGATCAGGTAGAGACCATATACACCATTGCGACGGGCGGCACTCTGTGATTAGCACAAGACTGGAAGAATCAAGCAGGGCTTCGAATACCTCAGTAGCCGTATGTCCATTGGATGATTATGTCTATGCGTCTATATCCATGTCCCAGCCCTCTTCCCCTCCTCATATCGTCGTACATATAACAAAAGGCGCCTCGCCTAGACGCAAAGTAGAGCGGTGTGTTCATCCCGGCATGTTCCCTTGACATGCCCCCCAGTGTCCCTTTCCGTTGTTGTTTTGTTTTCTTCTCCTTGTGTCCTTGGATATACAGCCTCCACATGATTTTTGACATATAATACAGATTGAATACAGATCGACAAGGCTTCCTGCCAAGGTCCACTCCCATGCTCCCAGACGCCGTGAATCATACAGAAAACGAGCACAAGGCATGCTTCTTCTTTTTTCGCTGTGTTTCTTTCCTTCTTTCTTTTTCTTATTTTCTTCTTTGCTTCTTTAAACCCAGTCTCGCCCGCTCTTCTGCATCTCAATCAGGCGCCAGCCCCTCGTCTCCGGGTTGTTGACGTCCTCGGGAACACGGGTGATGCCAATGGCATACGTCACCTGCTGCACCCGGTCCTCCATGCCAGCGGCCAGCTCATTCGTCTTGGCGTTGCGGTAGACGTGCACCTCCTGGGTTCGGCATGTGATGATGAAGACGGGGATCTCACCAGGGTCCAGCATGCGGGCCTTGAGAATGTCCACGTTCCGAATGTCCAGGATGCGGCCGTCCGACTTCATGCCGGCCTGGAGGTACTGCTTCGTAAGGGCCTCGTAGACAGAGAACTGCGCGGCCGAGAGCCACTGCTTCAGCACCTCGGTGTCTCCCTTGACGTAGGCGTCCAGCACCTCGGGCAGGATGTACTCCCGCAGCTCCTGCAGGAAGGGCTCGGTCCGGAAGCTGGGGTCCATGGAGCGGAACTTCTTGATGACCATGGCCGTCTCGTTCTCGGCGAAGAAGCCGCCAATCGTGTCGGTGATGCTGCGGGCCGTCGTGATGAGGGGATTCTCTGATTCTTCGTACTTGCCCTTCAAGCTGAAGACGTTCTGGACAAACTTGTTGCTGTCTCGGAAGTCTCTCCAAGCTTCTTTCCAGGCCGCGTCCTTGTGCAAAGTGATGTTGGTTCCGGCGCTATCAAGAACGGTTAGATTTACAACTTCGACGAGGTCGTCGAGACAGCAGAGCAGACTTACTTGGGATCTTCCTGGAGAACTTCGTCTTCACCACGTTCCTTTGCCAGCTGCTCCCTCCTCTTCCTACGCTCCTCCTTCTCAACCCAGCCACCATAGCGGGATGAGCTGCCATCATCAATGACATTCTTGACGTTCTTGAAAGCCTCGGTTTCTCGAATGGGCTTGGTGGCCTTGTCGACGACATCGCCGGTGACATTGGCAGCCTTTCGCACGCCCTTCATGACCGGCGTTTCCCAGGTCCAGGCCGCGCCCTTGCCAATGGCCGTGGCGGTGGTCTTGGCTACCTTGGAGGTGGTCTGGGAGATGGCGCCGGTGGACTTTTCGTAAGCCTCGCGAGCTCGTCGGACGGATTCGCTCTCGGCCAACTGGCTGGCGGACGCGGCAATCTGCTTGGTCGACTCGTTCCATTCCTGGGACTTTTGGAGCTCAGTGTTCATCGTCTCCATGAACACCTGCCAGGGGGTCTTGTCGCCGTGCGGCGGGGGCGGGGGGAGATCTTCCTTCTTTTCCTTGCCCTCATCTTGGTTTTCTTGCTTGGACTCCTCCTTTCCATCAGCCTTTTCCTCGGACTCCTTGGTCGGCTCTTCCTCGACCTTAGTCTTGGTCTCAGCTTTGTCCTCGACAGGCTTTGCCTCGGTCTTGACCTTGTCCTCCTGTAGTCTCCGGCCGCTCACATGCAGGAGGCGGGACTGTGACGCAGCGGAAGCGACTCGCAAATCGGCAGGCATGAAACTCGATCTCAACGGCGTCGACAGCGCAGACGGAAGCGTCGCACGCTCAGCGCTCGCAGCATTCCGGACGGGCCTCTGCGCAAGCTGAGAGGCTAACCGAGTGTATGCGGCAGGACACGGGCTGCAGGCGGGGGCAAGGCGCAGAGAGGCCCTCGAGAGGCCATTCTGCGAATTGGCGGCGCTGCGGGCAAGGGAGTTCATCTTTGGCAGAGAACAATCACAGGCCAGAAAAAAGAAGATATATTAAAAAGAAGTCTTCAAGCAGCTGCAGCACTTGGGCAGCGCGGCGTGGGGGGGAGGAAAGAGGGAGAGATGAGGCGGAGACGAGGATTTGGCTCATGTGCGGAATGGAAATTTTTGGACTTTTGGCGATGTCGGCTGGCGGCGGAAAGGCAGGCGGACAGCCGGGAGAATGCCGGCTCAATCGCAACTTTGCCGCCACCTTCGGCCGCGGCCGCTCCGATAGCGATAGGTTTGTTTGGTGCAGCAAAATTTCCAGGTCGACGACGAGGGTCCAGGATTCGCACGCTTTGAGAGACATACAGAGGCGGCCACATACACATACGCATACACACAGACACAAATACACACACACAGCCACGCAGGATGAGCGGATCATTGAGGAGCTGCTTTGCGGCTCGGCCACTGGCCCGCATCTCGCAGTCCATTGCCTCCCGGAGCGGCGTCCAGGGCATCCGGCCGCTGTCGCAGACGAGCGCACGACGAGACGACGCAAAGGATGGAAAACCACAGCCGGCCAAGACGGTGCCGCCGAAGCCCCGGACGGAATCGCTGCTCGACAGCATCTTCGCGACCCAGCCGGCGTCCAACAGCCGGTCCGCGCAGCCAAACTCCATGGCCAGCCTGTCCCAGAGCATGGTCTTCCAGGCCCTCAGCAAGTCCAACATCGACACCAGCGTGCTGTCCGGCGGCCCCTCGCAGGCGGCGCAGAAGAAGGACGACGAGCTGGAGCCGTACCACTTCCACGTCTTCTCGCACAAGCACAACACCCACATCACCTGCACAAAGCCCAACCGGGAGCCCATCATCTCCATGTCGTGCGGCAACATTGGCTTCAGGAAGTCACGGCGCGGCACCTTCGACTCGGCCTATTCTCTGACAAAATACGTTTTGGAGCGATTGATTCACACGGGGTGGCCAATGAAGATCAGCCGCCTCGAGCTGGTTCTCCGAGGCTTTGGCCAGGGCAGAGAGGCGGCCGTCAAGGTGCTCATGAGCCCCGAGGGCAAGGTGCTGCGCGACAAGATTGTGCGGGTTGCGGATTCAACCAGAATCAAGTTTGCAGGAACAAGGAGCGAGAAGCCGAGGCGGTTGTAGAATGCTCGGCTGCATCAGAATCAGCCATGTGTGATGATTATAGAGCCGAATGTACCATATCTTGTACACCTATACCAAAAGAACAAGGAGAGCGGATGAAAGGGAAAGCAAGAAACAAACCACCCAAACAAGGCTACAAGCGCAAACTGTGACGTTATCAAGCTCATGACATGAAACTCCCTAACCCTCGTGATGATATAATGGTATCATACCGACCCGTAGCCTGCAAACATAAAAGAACGAAGGAATAATCGAGCCATAAACGCCAGTCAAGTTGTCCACCAACATAAAGGCGAAAGAGAAGAGAAAGGAAAGAAAAAAGACAAAAGCTACGCAGTCGAGCTTGGGCGCCATCATGGCCGGATAGCCCTCTCCGCGGCTGGAAGCTGTCTGCCCGACGTGTCCCTAAGAATCTGCTTTCCTTTACCGCTTCCTCCTCTTCGCCGCTCGTCGTCGCTACTCCATTCGTTGTCACGCTCCGAAAGCAGATGCGGCCTCTGCTGCCCGAGCATGCGTGATTGCTCGTCCACATGCTCGTCGTCGTCGTCATCGTCGACCAGCTCGCCGTCGGCGCTGACGTATTCGGGGGGCTCGATCCAGTCCCTCGGCACGACGCACGGCAGCGCAACTCCAATGCTCGCGGCTCGATTCAGCCATCCGGGGCCCGCATCGCCCGTCAGCTTCTTGCAGAGATACGACGTGAAGTGGTTGCAGTTCTTTGTGAGCAGATTGTACGAGGTTCCGAGGAACTCTTCCGATGCGTCTCGCAGGGCTGCATCAATCTCCTCCGACGTGGCCAGCGTAAAGCCATGCAGGATCTCGCACTTGAAGGTGCCGCCTGGGGGCTCCGTCTTGGGCTTGGTCCAGTACACTCCGGTGACTCCGCGCTTATCATGCCCGCCGTACGCGTATTCTCGACCGTTGATGACAACTCCTGAGTGTAGCAGCGATGCTCCCAGGGTCCACAGCATCGAGGCGACTCTTCCGGGCTGTTCGAGGACGAGCTTGTGTTAGCAATCAATCGAGCACTCGGTGGCGCATAGAGCGGCGGAATAGCTGTGGTACGACAAGCGCTATTGCGATAAGCTCAAGCCAGAAAGAAGCCTTACCGGGAGAAGGTCATAGACGTTGATCTTGATCTCCGTCTTTTGTAGCGACAGCGTCGATCTGTGTCTGCTCTGGCGCTGGCCGGACTGTTGCTGCTGTTGTTGTTGCGAAGGCATTGCGACTGCGATTGCGACTGCGATTGCGATTGCGGAGATGGAAATGCAGGTGGCGTTCCTTGTCTTTGTCTGGCATCAGTTATAAGACAATGCGGGGGTCCGAATCAGACGAAGCTGAACAAAGAAAGAAAAAAATACCCCTACAAGTAGAATGAGGGTGAAAATAAAGCAAGATCAGTAGCAGGAGGAGGAGGAGCCGAGCAGGACAAGTCGAAGAAGGCGGGCGTCAGAGTTGCTTATGTAGAAGCTGGAGTGCAGTAGCCCAACCTTGTGACGATTGCCTCGAGGCGAGTGAGATTGACGACCGGGGTTGCTTACGTGCGCCGCCTAACAGCGCTGTAAGATGCCTGTAACTACGCCCCAAACAGGCATCAATACACCTGGAGGCTTCCGTGGCGGCAAACAGCGCCGCCCGTCTCAGCAGCTGAGCTCAAGCGCTCTTCCAGTTCAGCCCAGTTCCGGCCAATGCCGAGCTTGAGACCAGACCAGGGATTCTGCTGCTCGTCTGCGCTGCCCTAGCTTGCCTATGACGCACGCCACTGACTAAGCGCGGGAAAATCTAGCGCCGACTCCGACCACAGCTCCAGCTAAATCCCATCCAGTGTGGGGTCGAGGCTCAAATTTCATTCTCACCATCTCCCCTCCTCTCTCACCAGAGAAGAAAAAAAGAAAAAAGAAAAAGGAAGGCAAAAAAAGGGCCAGCTTCCATCTGCGTCCCTTTGCTCTTCAGAGAAGCTCTTTTCGCTTCCATCTTTCCCCTTCGTCTTCGTCACCTCGGGCTACAAGTAGCCTGACGGCCGCATTGGCGCTCTCCATTGCGTCGCCTGCTTCTTGCTTGGCTTCTCTTCTCTTCGTTTCTCCATCGCGCGCAGCAAGGTCTGCAGCCCTTGGACTCGTTGCGCCCTCACGACTGCTTCTTCCCTTTATTCCCTCCCGCCACTACGCAAAATCAAGAAAGATGCCTCCCAAGAAGGCGGTTGTCGAGGAGAAGATCCCTCTGGGACGACCTGGCAACAACTTGAAGAGCGGCATTGTGAGCAACTACCCTCCTGCCCAGCCCTAGTGGCTGTTCCCCCTTTGCTCCGCAAGTGCTTCAGTTCCTGACAATTGTCTCCTCTTCAGGTCGGCCTCGCCAACGTCGGCAAATCCACCCTCTTCCAGGCCATCACAAAGTGCAATCTTGGCAACCCAGCTGTATGAAGCCCCCCGCCTCGTCCTTCTTCGTTCGGGGTGCTGACAGCCTGAAGAACTTCCCCTATGCCACCATCGAGCCCGAGGAAGCTCGCGTCATTGTCCCCGATGAGCGATTCGACTGGCTCGTTGAGAAATACAAGCCCAAGTCACAAGTCCCCGCCAACTTGACCGTCTACGATATTGCTGGTCTTACCCGCGGATCTTCCACAGGAGCTGGTCTCGGAAACTCTTTCCTGTCCCACATCCGAGCCGTCGACGCCATCTTCCAGGTTGTCCGATGCTTCGACGATGCCGAGATTATTCACGTCGAGGGCGATGTCAACCCCACCCGTGATCTGGACATCATCAGCGAGGAGCTGCGACTCAAGGATATTGAGTTTGTGGAGAAGGCTCTGGAGGCTCAGAAGAAGAAGACCCGCATGGGTGGCCAGAGTCTGGAGCTGAAGAAGGCCAAGATCGAGCAGGAGATTATCGAGAAGATCCTGGCCTGGCTCCAGGACGGCAAGGAAATCCGCAAGGGCAACTGGAGCCCCAAGGAGGTAAGCCATACTCTCTTGTTCTGCACATCCTCCCTCCCCTTTCTGCAATTACGTGATGACAAAGGGCCTTGACGGCCTGAACAATTTAAACCCAGCTCGTCGAATGTCTTTGACATATTGAGAAGAAACCTATTCTGAACTTTTGCCTCGCAACTCCTTCAATTATACATCTACTGCAGCTTTCAAGGTGGCAACTTTGCTGACAGCTTTCCAGATCGAGGTCATCAACCCTCTGTTCCTCCTGACGGCCAAGCCGGTTGTCTACCTCGTCAACCTGTCTGAGAAGGACTACATCCGCAAGAAGAACAAGTACCTGCCCAAGGTTGCCGAGTGGATCAAGGAGCACGCCGAGGGCGACCCCATCATCCCCATCTCCGTCTCCTTTGAGGAGCGCCTGACCCGGTTCGAGACCGAGGAGGAGGCCAAGGAGGAGCAGAAGAGGGTGGGCGCCGAGTCCGCTCTGCCCAAGCTCATTATCCAGATGCGCAAGGCGCTCCAGCTGGGCAGCTTCTTCACAACGGGAACCGACGAGGTCCGCCAGTGGACCATCCGCATCGGTACCAAGGCCCCCCAGGCCGCCGGTGTCATCCACACCGACTTTGAGAAGACGTTTATCCAGGCCATTGTCTACAACTTCTCGACGCTCAAGGAGCTCGGTGACGAAGCCGAGGTCAAGGCCAAGGGCAAGGTCATGACCAAGGGCAAGGATTACGTCGTGGAGGATGGTGACATTTTGCTCATCAAGGCCGGTGCTGCCAAGGGTTAGACTGCTTTGACAGCGGTGTGTAGTTAGGTAGCCAGGAATTGAAAATGTAAAATGCCATCTCAATCTTGCGTTCTTTCTCAGTGACTGCTCGTCAAGCTGGCCACCTTAACCCACAACGGTATCCATTGATGATGCCTAGGTGTATCATATACCGCTTTTACCTATGTATTCCATGTCCGCACATATGTTTACTGGGGCAGTAGTGCACTAGACACTACAGCGCCGGAAATCATATAATTGCAGACAAGACCCAAGACATGCAAAGAGTGACAGAATCAAGACAGTATTGGAAAAATGAAATATATTCAAGGAGTGAAGTATTAGTTGGCTATATATAGCAGGTATATCAAAAGGTCATTTCAATCATCAAATCCGGAAAAAAGCAAATCAAAGACAAAGGGAAAGAAAAAAGCAAGGAATTAGGAACAAATTACGACTGTGAGAAAAGAAGGCCGGAAACCAGCCGAACTCTTCCTTCTCTCTCTTTTAAAGAACCCCCCCCCCCCAATACAACCCCGTGACTCTCTCCTCACAGCTTCTTTCACAGCCCGCCGTACTTGACGCCGCGCTTGCCCATCTCCTTCCTGCCGATGGGATCCTCGGGCCAAACCCAGCCGCGGCTGCGCTTGGCCTCGCGCTTCTCGGCCAGCTGGGGCTTGGGGATCCAAGTGTCGCGGGCCTTGGCCTTGCGCCGGGTGCCGTCGGCGGGGGCGCCAATCTCGGCCTTCCAGTGGGCGTGGCCGGCGGGCGTGTGGTCGCCGGCAATCTGGCAGAGGCCCCAGAGGGCGAGGCAGGCGGTCAGGGGGATGCCACCATCGGACGACGATGACGACGACGACGAGTCGAGGCCAAAGTCGGCATCAGAGGCATTGAGCTGCACCGAGGTAATCTCCAGGTCGCCAAAGAAAGGGGTCGTCTCGGTGCCGGCGCGGACGAGGACGAGCTCAATCTCGGTGAGGATGAAGCCGTAGCGGCAGCCGTGCTCGCGCATGGCGTAGTGCAGGGCGGCGAGGCCGCGCAGGTAGTCGACGCGCTTGATGTTGCCCTCGACGCGCATGCCCGTGTTGAAACGGTCGAAGCTGCGGACGAGGCCGACGACCCTGGCGGTGGGCTTGCCGCCGAAGATGGCGGCCGCGGTGGACGACTCGCCGGCGGCGTTGGCGACGAAGATGAGGTCGTTGACGCCCGAGGCCGTCTTGGCCGGGACGGAGAGCTGCAGGGGCCGGTTGGAGGACATGGCCAGGGCGGAGTTGAGCTTGGGGAGGTAGTACGACGCGT